GTGCTTAAGGAGTCACTAGGCAGACTCAATGCTCCCGGAATAGAAAAGTTAATGCCGAAGAACCTCTTCACGTGTGATACGGCCTGTAGAGAAAAAATGTTGTGTCTTTTTTCTTTAAAGACGATAATAGAACAACAGTAAAACTAGATAGCGAACTTTACGGTAACATGTTGCAAACTTTTTTGTGGTTCAAAATGAGGGCATCGGATACAAACAACGTTTGGATCCAACAGGATAGGGCAACTTGCAATGCAACGCGGGAAATAATCTATCTGCATGAAGCCATGTTCTCAGGTCGGCTGACCTCGGGGCGCGACGGTGGCATCCAGTAACTGTCCAAATAATCTGATTCGACTCCTCTCGATTTCTTTCTACGGGGCCATGTTAAGAACAAAGTCTATAAAATAATCCATCGCTCGAAACATAGCATTTGAGGTCTTATTGGTGAAACTGACGCTAAACTTTGCTGGATTTTTATTAAAAACAACTACAAGGTCAAATTATACAAGCAGTCGCTTGAAGGCAATTTATGAACACATGCACAGAACAAAAAGCACACACGGAAGCTCGTTTTAATACTTGAATTTTCAACAGCACGGGGGCCACCCATCGATTTCTGAAGCATTCTACATTTATTCGAACGGCACATTCTTTTTGAGGAAAGATGCAATAGAATATTTTTAGCGTAATTACTTCTACCAATTAATTCTATGATACTGTGTAGAGTTTCGGCTGTGTATACTTAATATACTAACAGCCAATGAAACCTTGAACAATTGCGGTAAAAAAAAATCGCGTATCGTACTCTTTGCATTGTAAGCCATATTTGTCACGTGACTGAGCTAAATTGATAAAGCAGAAAATATGTCGCAAAGCGGCCCACTGGATAATACTGTTGATTTTTGTAACTCTTTGTTGGGTCCTCTGTAAAAGAATATATGGTCCAGCTAACGCTCGCGTATAGTTGTGATCAATTCGATATGCTTTGACGACCGGCAGTCAATGCCGGTGACAACTTTTTCTCATAAGCATACATTGATGGTAAATTCCTACTATATAAAGCAGTAGTAGGTTTGATTGCTACTAGGCTGTTTATATTTCAAGTGTTATCCACGTCACTATAACATGATTTGGACACCTAGCCTCTTCAAAATGAGAGATTTACCCCTCTACCGATACTGTCGAATAGCGTTTCTTGAGTTTATCACGTCTAGCATAACCTGTAACGTCCTGAAGTTTCCGTTGAATGAAATGGGTATAGGCCTATTTTTCGAAGTGATCTCTTAGTCCATTATTACTCTACAATCCACTGAAGAGAATTACTGACTACGATTTTCTACCTTTCAGGCATTACGTGTTTCTATACAGCCTGGAACATAGGCTATCCCGCTGCGTTTCGAGACTTCCGCACCCTACGATATGTTCCCGAGGTCCCAATACCTCCAGGTGCCTGGAGGCGGAGTAGGCGGCGGCGCACTTAGAACAGATCACCCTAATACAAGCCACCTGCCATGCGGAGGCTTATCGGGCGCGCCTTCACGACATTCATCATTGCCAGCGCCGATCGATGGCATATCTCCTTTGCTGTCCCTTGACTCAATGGCTCTGGGCCTCTCACATTCGCTTGGAAATTTTGAAAGTCTCCAGGCTACTCATTTACTCGGAAACAATGCAGACGGAACTATAACAGGCGACGCATTTCGTTTCCCACTTGAGCTCACCAACTGTGACTGTAAGCATCTCTACTCATAATGGCGCGCGGTCGAACCGAGCGGTCTCGTACATAATAGGTAGCAGGGAGACGCCTTAAATTCGAATTTCACGCATTTCAAGAGGTTTAGCGGGCGAGGTCGCGAAATTTAAATGCGAGCAAAATGCAACAGCTGTCTGTCAAACCAACGGTACACCGTTATGCATACAAGAGACCGGCCTAGTTACAAGCCCTTTAATCTATATGTATGTATATACACAGCTCTAAGAAAAATAAACCAAGTTTCTTTTGGGTCAATGCGAACACTCGAAACTGTATGGTAAACATTAAAAACGATACGACGTCATCCGTTTCTTTTACGCAAAAGTTTTACGATGAAGTTACTCTCTCGTTTTCGCTGTTTTACGTTATATGCATACTAGATGAAAAACCTTTGGCGAGCGATATAAGCGTCAGGGACCGAGAGGGTTGAATCCATCTGTATTTCGTCATGGTCCTCCCTTTCCGTTTGTCCCTTGTTATATAGGACAGCAATACAACGCTAACACAAATTTGTGTTAGCATTGTATTGCTAACTTGTACAAAAAAAATACTCCATCCCTACTATGTTATAGTGCATCTAAGTCACATAAAGCATTTGCACATATAATGTGATTGGTATTGTTACATAAGTGTAAATATCGACAAAAGCAAGGATCGTCCAAATAGGTAGTTGTGGCCCTAGGCCTTAACCTGAACACCGGGTAGGGCTGACCTACCGAGAACCTGTCTGTTGCACTTACTAGGTTTTGTACAATCGTATGTCGATAAAACAACTCAACGTTTCCACAGCAGTCAGCAAACGTCGTCATTTCTGTTGTACCGGCGCCTCTGTTGCATGTTCCTTGCCTGACTGGCATGGCGCAATAACTCGATCGAAAGCCTGTTCTCTGCCATTGGCCTGCGTCGGTAAGTATTATTGGGCTATTAATGGGCCCACTTGAAATACTGCTCATTTTAGAAAAGACTAAGCTTCCGTGTTAAGGTTAAGTCTTTGTCTTTCTACAGCCTTCCTCTACCGTGCGAGAAAGTTTTTCAATGAAAGGAGGCGTTTACGGAACCAGCCCACTTGGAGACACCAACAGTTTAAATGCATATAGTTTTGAATTGAATACGGTTTGCACCATACTCCGTGGGCAAAAAATCTGTCCAGAACTTGTTACAGTTCCCTTTATATTATATATAAAGTATATATATAAGGTCTTTATATTGCCAGTGTTTTGATTTGGTGAAGCCGGCTCACAGTCCTCGTTCACAGCTTTACTGCGTTTTAGAAGCCTATAGCACAACCTTCAGATTTCACCAAAACCTTAGATTTGTCAATGCGAAAGATTGTCTGATACTTAGCCGATTGATGTTTTTCTGCCCAGCTTACAATAAAATTCATATGTTTAAACCATTGGAAATGGCACTTCCACTGGATTCATGCAAAACCCACCTGCCTGAACTAAGATCCGATTTTCCTTTGTGTGTTGAGGCCATTCCGATTAGTGCAGCAGCTAATTCCTGATCCGGCAGACGTGTATTTAGCTAGCTAAGGCGGATGTGCATGCGGCAGAGAAAGTTGCAGTTGATCATCATTAGCGGCCGCACGGAGAATAATCTATGGTTTAGATCTAGATCTTCAGCAGTTATAAAGCGCTGAAACTAGTAAACACTACATTGCTTATTCTGTTTCACGCCTGCATGTGATCTATATTACGCGTCCGCAGACGAAATCTCTATTCTCGACTACAGGAAACGTATAAATCGTGCAGTGAACGAGGAAGTATTTAGAAAAAGAGTGTGTCAGGTTTGGAATCCACCAGGTAGACAAAATATCCAGGCAGCTAAGGTTGAAATTACTTTTTACGCTAATTGATACATTAGCCGCCTTCGTACAATAAACTGATCTTGACCGTAATAAGTCTTGCTACTTACTGTTGCCTTTTAGCTCGAAGGCAACAATAGCCTCCGACAGTTTTGCTGGCGAAAGTGATAAGGCATAAGACTGAAAGGAGACACATAGTGGAGAGGTTCGCAACGAGCGTTTTAGTTAGATGGCGGAGTGCTTCTTTTTATATGTGTGAATTCCTATATTCGAATGATCGCTAAGTTGTAAGCTCCTATTGTAAGCATCTTTTGTCACTGCAAATTATTGGCTTCAGCACAGTCAAGCTAGATCACCTGCTGCCATGTGTGGAGGCCTTCAAACGCCAATCCATCATATAACTATATCTACTGACGCTCTTGTTACGCAATGCCGATTCTACATGCAAGTTAGTTCTGATATTTTCAGATCATTTTGCTAGCTATTCCTACCCACTACTACTCAATTATATATCGGGGTTACTCTCGGAACCCTAATCCCCTTCGTATATATTTTGCACCACTGAATATTTAAAGGCTGAACAACATCGATATTATTGGTCGATGGCTGCGAACCTAAAATTCTTGACGATTTAAGTAAAGCGTTTTAGCTACATTGGTCAGCGCTGATTCACTATCTGAACTTGCGGATTTCTGAAAAAAGCTGAACGCCAATGCCGCTGCGGTTCCTCTGTAGCTTTGTAGTACAAATCAACAGATGTTTAACATGAGACACTCTTGCACCTTTTGCCGAACTTCGTTTTATCTTCCTGTTCACTTCGCTCTAATCGCGTTAGACACGTCAAGTTTCTGTAACAAGTAATAATAATCGTGCCAGCTATTGTTTAACGTAATACTAATAATAACAACTGCAGCGACAAAAGCGCCACCAGTGGCTTCATCTTTAACTTAGCAGAAAATAACTAGACGCTTGCCATATGACCATGAAAATGTACGCTGAACGTAGCGAGCGAAAAGACGCGTCGCTGCTCGTCTATATTTATTGAGATAAATCTATCGTTGTTCGCTCCGGAACTCAGGAACTTCGCCTAAATATATGACGGGGCTAGTACGCTAAAGATGTGCGACGCGCCAAATACAAGTTCAATATACAATTCAAGTAAATACGATAAAATGGTAATTTCAAAGAGCTTTGTCCTGTTACCTTACAACCGCGTCGACGAAAAAGTTCGCGATAAAATCGAACCAAGCCTTTGTTACGGCCGTACGACGGACGAGTTAACTGCATATATGTGCATGTGTTGTTCTGTTTGTCCCTAATTTCCATAATGTTGCTGCCGACAGACGTAGATTTTAGCACCGAACGGTCGGATCGAAGTCGTTCTCCTCGAAGCTCAGTCTGCTCGGAAATTCTTCGAGTTGACGTGCAAGAAACGCCTGAGCCCACAGGAAGATTCGCTAAGTACGTCAGTCGTTTGCGGGTTAGTAGTCACGTACCCATATATGATAGTTCAGCCATTTAGACGTTTGTCGGGGACGAGCAAACCGCGTTTCAAAAACAACACGCCTAAAAAATTCGTTCACATCGAGATTCTGGTCCTTTCCCACCAGCGAAACAACCCTGCCTAAAGTATACTTGAAGTGTGACTGTTGATAAGGGAACGGAACAAAAACTTACAAAAAAAAGTTGAAATGTTGTTGCTTGTTGCTGACGTAAGCCGATCGGCACAGTTTATTCATACCGTTTTTTTCGGCCAAATCGCATGCATAGGTCGTAATCGTCTGTTTCGTAATAGCGTATAATGCCCCATGCACAGCCAAGCGAAGCTCACATACTGCTTAGACAAGCTTATTTTGTTGGTGTTTTTCATTTTCTATGCACGTGTCTTTCTCCCGTAAATAACGCAGCTGAATTTTGCCGTTTATTTTTAATTAAGCAGACCATCAAAAGGTGGTTAATGAGCCCACGAAAAGGGCAAGATGCCCCAAGACCTGACTCGTTCCTCGAGAAGTTCACGTACACCGACACGGCCGAAGGCACCGTAGAGGGGATCCTTCTTGGAGCGACAAATTCAGACGACCACGCACCATCATCAAATTCACGGTACGAGTTTTCAAAGCTTCATTCTTGTGTGACAACTTCCGAGTACTAACTGGCTCGATTCACTTTGAATTGCCACAATTTATTCTGTGCGTTTACATCTTCCAAAGCATATGTTTTCATAAATATGATGTTGTCTATTGGGGGGAAACCGCGGATATAGATAATACTAGGCATCGTGCAAGAGTAACTTCGCGCGAAATTTTGAAGGTAGCTTTTGGTTCGATTCAAGCGAAACCATTCATCGTTTCTTCACAAGCGTTTTGACCATCCCCTATAATCGCAAGCAATAACTTCTTTTATAAATTATAAGTCGCTTTGGCAATTAATTATGTAAATGTTTACATTTTTCGATTATTATCAGACGTTAACATGACTACACTTTAACCTGGTACAAATGCGAAGACGAGTTTGGCTGCCTCTCAAAACACAGACTATGGTATTTATAGAAACAAATGAAGAACGACGCTTTGTTCCGGAGGAGAACACTGCTCTATTCTAATCTAGGGTCACCCATAATTCTCTTCGGTACACTACATTGACCACTACTTGTATGGACCAGACAAGAGCCATTAGATCCGACACTCAATGGAGTGGTTATAGTAAGCACAAACTTTTCCTAAGTGTTTTTTTTTTTATTTAATTGCGAAATAGAGTTAAATTTTCACACAGTAATTTCCGATAACGATAGATTATCTCGAATCAAGCGTTAGCTGTTATTTCAGGCACGTTTTCCTAAATGAGTAATTGCCGTCTGCGAAACGCTTCTGCATTACGATTCAGCTGGCGAAGAAATAGGCCACTTCAAGTTTCAACGTTGTAAGCGGAAACTTCGTGGGACACTAGCCGTGGTTGCTCGTAGGCATAGTAGAAAACGTTGGTATTAAGACCAGCAACTTGTTAGGAAGCAAAGAACTACAAAGGTTCACTTCGTTCCAGGATTGAAACATGGTAGCAGCTCTCTGAATGAAAACACGACACTTGTCGTTCTGCAGATCTACAAAACCCATAAGCTTCTCTCCATTTCAAACGCGTTTACATAAAATTCGATACCGACTATCTGGCCGGCTTTTGAAATCTGTGCGTCGCTAATTGCCAACGATTCTTTCAGAAGTAGATTGACATGTCCGCCCGACAACTCCGCGTAGATATTATAGTGTATACACCTGTCTGCTCCTGAGTATTGCAGTTGATATTTTCGTCTACAAAGGAGGAGGTTTTCAGATTTACCTGACTCCGGCAGGTAAAATTGTTTCGACACCATTGTAGCGAACAAATCATTGCCTATGTAAAAAAAACAAACAGATGTAGCTTCTATTTTACTCGTTTATATTGTGCTCTATCGTTGGCGCATGTATATCTGAAACGATACAACGATCAAACGGTTTCGTATATATACATATCTATATGGGGTGCTATATAATGCTACCGGGTAATGCGCTCAAATTATGAAAAATTTTGGGAAGGTGTTTATTGTGACGTGCACGCGTTGATCCTTTGCCTAATACCAGACGAAAGTTAACCTTCCCTTGAACATGGAAAACAACAGCCAACGCCCTTTTTGGAACTTAAAAAAAAAAACGGAAGGCAAAAATCAGCCATTTTTCGAACTTTCCGCATTGGATGAATGCCGAACAAGAAAAACTTCACTTGATCTTAAAATCGACGATCAACATTATAGTCACTTACCAATGGCTTGTAAGAGGCCTGTCGAAAGGTTTCATAAGGCAAAATAAAGAACGTTCATAGGATTTATGTTTAAAGGGCTTGAAAATTCACCGAATTAGCCTTGAGAGTCAATTTTAATATACCTAGATTTTTGATACAGAAATTAACAGCCGTTTCAGATAGGTAAATATTTTTGAGCGGAACTTTGAGGTTTACTCCTATTAATAATGCTTGGGGCACGGTTGCTATTAAATGATGAATTGGGGATTAAAGGAAGAATATTTTGAAAATAACTATTTTGTGGTTTAAGGTTCGAATTGAAGCTATCATCGTAGCGAATGATGGCTTTATTGAATAATCATTACCGTAAAAAACGGCACTTGTAGCATATTTAAAAAATGTACTCATTTAGGTAAGACCTTGGAAACAAATCACATAGAAATTTTCCATTTAGACGCGCCATCTTGCATTTATGCCTATATATTGGTTCATTTTGGAAATTTCCGGGACAACAGCTCTTTGAAACGTCTCTACAGTAGCTAGTAGTCGAAACTGACAATTTGCTGCACAACTAACTATCTAAGGCGTCAATATGCTTGACTCGAGCTCTCAGACCAGCGCCATATCGATACGTTAAAGAAAAAATACAAAGTCTTAGGGTCAGGACGACCTGTGTAGCAACTTGCGTGTTTCGGCTACCTGTTAACAGGCCCCAACATGACTGATCCAAGGTCCTAGTACAGCATCGCATTTCCATGACGATGTAGTAGAGCGTAGTAAACGGGGTGCGCAATGTGGGTCTTTCATCGGATGGCTCACCAAAGAAGATGGCATGAAACAAACAGCAGTCGGATATGTTTTCTACAGCAAACCCAACTGGCCTGTAGATTGTGCTGTTTCCAGTTAGATGACGTACTGGGACTGGGTTAGCGTGACCCTTTTAATCCCTGCTGTGTCCAAATAGGGGTGCATCACCAATGGGTCTGGGCCAGCGTTGGCGTTCATTAACCACCACTCGTGTGTTACCACTCGAAATAGAGAGAGACGATGGAGACTCACTCACTAGTACAGACACCCCACAAAGGCAGAAAGAAGCCTAAATCCTATGGGAATAACATGAGAAAATGTCTTCGTTATGTGTATTTCGTAGTTGTATTTTTCACCGGGTTTTTTGTCGGGTTAGAGCATCGCGATATCTGTCTATAGAGATAAGGAACTGTTCCACGTACAAGCACATACTAGAAATAGACAAATTCGTGTTGTTAAAGACAGATTCAATTTTCAACGTGTTCCGATTTCCAGCTAGTTCGATAAGTAACATAACAGGAGTCGACCAATCTTGGTGGCAGAAATAGATACTTGCTAGAATCATTTGTTCAGTTGATGTCGGCACTATGTTTAACCGCCACTCGAGTGCCAGGTATCAGCCGTCGTTCTTCAACTATAAGGTTCGCTGCCATCAATAATAAAGTGGTGGACGGGGTGTCAGCAGGCGGAGACTGGCTATGCTACAGTCAAAAATGCCATGTCTAAGTTCAGTAGGGGCAAGTACGAAGCCAGCCCCAATTGAACGTTGCCAGTGAGCAAATTGTCGTCTATTAATCCAGTAAACTGGGTAAACTCGGTCGACATTTCAACTTTGATTCCCTAGAAGGTCCTTGTGTGGCTAACAAAATAGCCCTATATACATTACCGCCTATAACTGTCATCGACTGTATACTTTTATGTACATCGTTTTAGACTAAGTTTAACAATTGTCAGTCGTTGTTTAACTCAATTGTAACCATGGCACGATCAAAAAGTTGTCGGGGCATCTGAATCAGGAACCTGCAAAGGCACATAGTATGAAAATGACAATATAATATTGAGTAATGTAAATAATAATTAAAGTCAAATATTTGGAAAAGATGACTGTCATTATCATGAAATGGTTACAAAGACGATTTCACAGTAACAGCTGTTAAGGGTCAGTTCGTGGCAGCAAGACTCTTGCCAATGGCAACAACATGCATTGTGACGACCGGTGTGCCTCTATTTGGAGTTCTCTTTTATTCCGCCTCTGTTACCCTGTCAATAAGCGAGTGTATTCTCCCCGTTACCTTTGATGACAACAAGTGAACAATTATACTTGAACGGTATAATGAGAAAGTACTAATTGTGTAAAAGTTCTAATGGCGACTTGGAAACAATGTCTAGGGATCTTATTCAGATGAATTGGTTTTTCTTTTGTCGCTAGCTGTTAGGCACGCGATTGACTGAATTTTAAGCAATTCTTTCCTGGATTTATAATATTGGTTCGTGGAACAATAGTTCTGCTCGATGGGCGGTATATCGACTGTGTGCGGCACTATATTCGGCCATATGAACTGGATCTTCAGAAAGGCCCGAGGGGGCCTCAGCTCGATCGGGAAGCGTCGGAACACACTTCCTCAGGCTGAAACTAATCCCGCCGACGCTAAAAAGAGGTAAATGGACGCAAGTCAATGAAGCTAAACTGTACCTAAACACAAGGTCGAGGATTTCGTTGAGATAGGGACCAAAGGCTTCTCGCACGTTCCTTTTTCATATACTTGAGTGACTACCACTACTACAAACGAACGATTGTCAAACCATTGGTTCTCTAACCGTAGGATATAGAAAAAGTGTTCTCATACAGTGCGGCGCTATTTGAGCAGTGATTGAGTAGAAATCATTTAACTCTTCTGTGTGTTCGACTTCGTCTGACACATACAACGCCCTCGTCTATATCAACGTGTGAATATAAAGAGAAGTTGCCTTTTTAGTATCGGTCATTAGTCGAAAGGAATCCTATCGTTCCTTACTTCAGCTACAGGAAAATCGACTACCTACCAGTTATGAGTAAGCATATATCGGTTACACGTAAATTATTTTACGAATACTGGCCAACCAAAGCTACACATACAGTGGCTATTGTCTATCTTGAATAGAAAGCAGGCTTGTTAACCCAACTCACAACGGTACGTTCATTACGGCCGACCTCACGTACCGCAACCTCGACACGAATACTGGCGTGAGCCGATAAGCCGATAGAGATGTGTCGATCCCTACCATTGAAACTTGTACGAGCGATATTAGATAAAAATAAACGAATGCATAGTATAAGAGATATCCTATGAAATTAACCTAACCCTTTTGTCTCTTATCACTTACCACCATGAATATAATTGTCATCGTAATGTGTCAAGCTAGACACTCAGCTTTAAATAAATGCTGAACATTTGGAACAATTAAAAATCCTTCTAAAAAAAAATAGATTATAATTATCGGAAAATCAATCCTATTTGCAAGTAACTGTCATTCCTTAGGAGCCATCCTTCATTAGTCGATAAAATTCAAGAGAGGAAAAAATTCCTATACGGGCCAGTTTTTTCGGAAACAAACATTTCGAAGTTATTGTGCTACCATATGCATTCGTAGATCTGTTGAATTACGATCAAATTTGTGAACTGTACATCATGGGGTCAAGGTGGTCAGTCTGATGGAATAGGCCTAATTAAGGTTCTCGAGATTTTTTTCAAAGTTGAAGGCCGTTTTTGATTTGACTTCGTGACTACGGGAATAGCACCTCACGGGTCATAAATTTATGATTTATTTATTTATTTATTAGTGATATATTCGGCTGAGATGGAACGATTTAATTGATAGCATCCCTAGAATCTGGAAACAACTCCTCAAACGTGTTTGTATCCATAATGTCACCACCAGCCTCAGCAACATAAGGTTTTTGCTTTGCGCTGTGTCTGCCAGCAAAAATGCCATTCATGGTAGAAATTTTGATAATCCCGGCTCCAAGCGCACTCTTCCTACCGAAGTTGATCAGACCATTCCACACCTGTGCAACAAACGAACTTCAAACAGCTAGACAATACCAATATCTATTGCTCTACAATAGTTACGTACGACATAGGTAAAATTTAGCATTTTTACCGGTTTCTTGAAATTCGTTCTCACAATCTTATCACTAGAAAAACGTTTCCTATTGCATGAAACTTCGGTTTTAGGGTGAAACAACATATGAACACTAGTGGATGAGACAGAAAATCATTTAGACGCGGATAAACCCTGACCGCTTGAGCAACATTGCTAAAAACGATGTTGCCTAAGCGAACTGTGGATGGTTTCATCGTACGCTATACGATTGGCTTTGCGCTGAGCGTTGATGCGTCTATGATTTCCTTTGAGACAAGCTAAGCCGCTCCTGAAGGCAATAAGGACGGACACCCGATGAGACGATTTCAAAGAAGACGTTTTTCGTTCGCGCGACTTCGGTTATTCGATCATTTGTTCATTAAGCGCACACTAAGAAAATGCTTCTGCGCTATATACCGATCGACGCCTGTCGACCTTTGCCTTTAAACGTTTTCTTGCAGAGGCTTTTGTCGAGCCGGCCGACTTTTATTTCTGTGTCGGAGAGATCTGCTGTTTTTTTTTTTGGTGTATTAATCTTGTCTATGTCATATAATCCCCTGGATACTGCTACATCACTGGTTCGCCTTGAGTCTCAGGTATCGATATATTAGCGAATATAATAGTTTCCTAATCGTACGGGGTAACAGGCCCACAGCAAAGGACTAACAGCAGACCGTCACCGGATGGTGATCTTAAGTCGGAGAGTGTTCACCGCATGTTCATAAGCTATCTGGTTTACTTTATATATATAAATACCATACTGATTTATACACACTGTATTGTCTTACATATATAATTAAGAATAATGTGTGGGCAAAAACGTAAAATACACTGGCTTCTGATAATGTATGTTGATGTTACATTATTTTCTAATTGCAACACAGTTGAGCAAGAGCGAGTGTGTCATGTTGCCACGAAGCTAATAGAAAAAAGTAAAATTCTAGTTTCATGAAAAGGCTTCTTTGCTTATTATATCAAAGCGTACCTTATACTGTAAATGTTTGTTTCAGTGCATGTGGCGGCCTTCTAGACAGTGACTGGATTGTAGATCCGTCGGGCAATCGCTATTATTTCTGGCTCTTCATCGTATCTCTTGCGGTCCTTTACAATACACTCTTCATTATCGGCCGATCGGTCTTCTGGGAGCTCCAAAATGCGTCGCCTCCCCTATGGTGCGCTCTAGACTACATCTGCGACTCAATTTATGTACTTGATATGGTACTTCGCGCGAGAACGGGTAAGCACATCGATCTTTGGACTGTTCCCCTTGATTTTGTTCGTAGAATATGTTACACTGAGCAGATTCGCATTTTGTCTTTTCTCTCGAATAATCTTATTTGTAAAAATAATCTTATTCCAAATCGTTACATCCCTCTTTAAGATCCTCTATTTAGGTCTTTTGTTTTTTTATTATACACAGTAGACTACACAGGACTGGTAGGGATTAGATTTGCCAGAAATAATTTCTAGGATGCCACAAGAGTGTTTCCGCAGGTGCGCACTGCATTAAGTGAACTGTGATGGAAGTATAATCTATTGCATTCGACTTGGGAGGCCAATTAGTTTCAGATTTAAATCTAAGTTTTATAAGTTATTATCAAGGCTTTAAGCCTACTCATTTTAAAGGCATTAATTCGGGAAGTCAAATACGCATCTTAAACCTATATCTTGATGAAAAACAATGTATCATTTCAAGAAGGACTTTCTTGGTTTTTTCCTCGAAGAAATACATTGTAAACTGGCTGGGCATGTGATAGGTACAATAGCTACGAAGGATTCGACGGTACTTTGCTAGCAAAGGTAGAGCTTCGGAAAGACTGCTCAGAAGTTTCTTGAAGCAAATCTTGTCTACGAGCTTTTCCTTATCGAGGGAACAACTGTTAGCCATTTAAAAGTCGTACCATCATTTACGCTGAAAGCGTATTAGCGCAAACACCCTAGCCGTGTACAGGAAATGGGACCCGGTCTAGGCAGGTCACTGGAGCAACGTCGGCGTTAGCTAGCATTTTTATGTACGTACATTACACGGTAACTACAAAAGGATATTTGTCCCTATAAATACAACCCGTTACCAGCTATTCGTTACCTTGTTGAATTTCCTTTCTGAAGTCCAACTGTGCGTTATTTTGCAAAATTTGTTTTGATAAGAAACTATAAATCGTTCGCTACCGTAGAAAATACGTACCGTAGCAATGTTTGTATGCAAAATTCTATAAATCCTTTACGGCCAAGATTCAGCCATATATAAAACGACGTTTGATTGCGTTCGAACGCAGACATCATTCCAAAATGGACCTGGTTACTTCTTTCATGGGATGCACGAATACATCCCTGCTTCCCATTTATGTTGTTTAGCTACTAACAGGAAACATGTATGCTAGACGACTGCATAGGTTTAGGCACAAGACACCCTGTGGCGACTCTTAATATAATCTTGTCCTGTCTAATACTACTAGGGCTGCTACTAAGGTGTAGAGATTTTATTTTGTTTACCCTAATATTCTCGGTCGGCAGCGGTCACTTCGCTAGGGGGTGATTTGTGTTGCGTTAAAGCGTCTCGATCAATGCGTTCCTCGAGCACAGAAGTGTGCATGATGAAGTCCGGCAGCATATGTGTAGCAAAAAGATGAACAAGGTAGCTTAGTTATAATATGCAACAGTCATATACTGTTAAAATTGTTATCGCTCGACAGATTGGAACGCATCTATATAGCAACTCAGAATGGGATCCGTAATCTCAGCAGATTAATTGATTTTTCTCAGACACCAACAGGCTAGAACTTTGAGTTAGCGAGAGTCTAGTTTTCAACAACGAAACCACAGCTGAATGGCGCGACAAAAGTTAATTTTTTTGTATAATGGCTATGTTTGACTTGGCTTAATCTCTGCAGCGTGAGTATTTCTATTTTGGTACAATATGTAAGCTGTGGCTAGTCTTTACCGTCCCTTAATCATCATTGTTTCCAGCATAAGAGAAGGGTTTAGCAACCGTTCGTTAGACGTTCATAAGGACAGCAGGCTCATCGTTTTCTACTCCGCAGGACATATAGGAATTGTTATAGTTATTATTGTGACACCTAACTTCGCTAATCTTTCCGGGTTCGTTTACAGGTTACTTAGAACAAGGCCTGTTGGTCAAAGATACTAACAAGCTCTTGTTGCGCTACATGAAATCGCCCGCGTGTCGTCTAGACATAGCCTCCCTTCTGCCAACTGACTTCTTTTACGTATACACCGGTATCCGCTGTGACGCGTCGTCGCTTCCGTGCATCGTGATCGTCCGTCTCAACCGATTATTGCGTATACCTCGCGCACTGGAATTCTCTGAACGAACGGAGACGCGCACAAACTACCCTTACGCATTTCGCATTGGTGCGTACTAAATGGCCTATAAAATTATTATTTTAGTTAGTAGTCGGATGTCCCAATGACAGGTGGCGTGGCAATATTTTCCAGGATTGTTCTGTGTTTCTGATAAGGAGGATGTATGACTCAATGAAGTTAGACAAATTCAGCATTACGAAGAGCGATAGAGAAAAAGTACTTTCCTGACTTCGAAGTAACTAAATCCAAATCAAATTCTGCATGATATAGATATTATTCTTATCAGGAGCAGAAGTAATGTTATGTAAGGTCGGGCGTAGACAACTTAAATTTGCATACCAAGTACCCGTCATTTTAGCCAAGAAAAAAATCGCATATACTGATAGGGCTTTAGATACTAGTTTAGCAATTTTATGCATTCTTCCCTTATGATATAACAATCTACCGGGATAGTGGCATGTTACTTAGGTTAGTAGACAACCCATTACTGAACCGGCAACAATGTACTTATTCAAACACCTAGTAAGCAAACATCGACATTTTGAGTCTACCGGACGCTGGTTGGCTACATGCACTAGTACTGTTCTATTTTTGGGCCGATATGGATTTGTCGTCATCTCAACGAATGTCTTGTTTCGCCTGCAGCTGCAGATAGGTCTAGCCATATTTTCTTGGAAAACCGAGTTGGACTTCAGCTGCGGGCGATAGACGTTATAAATTGCCTTAAGATTCTGAACTTTCGTATTTCACTAAAAAAAAACGTCTACTTACAGTTAGAGTTAAGCATGATTATTATAAGTATTTCAACATAGTTATGTACAAATCTCACTTTAAAATCACACATACGATTGCTGCGATATTAACACTGTGGAATTTCTGCCATAGTAGATAAAATAAAGTGTATTTTAACGTGTGTATTGTATGAAATACAATAGAAGGTTAAGTGTTCCATGGAGTATACCTTAAACGTACTAAAGACTACATTTTTCTTCCGTAGGACTGGTCTCTCAAGCTGCACAATTGGCCAGCCATTAATTCTGATCAAATTTAAATTGAACTATTGATTGTACAGGTTCGGTGCGCTATCCCGGCGTTGCTAGGACTGATTTATCTACACTGATCGCTCGTTCAGAATTTGGTCCGGTAGCACCTTTCAGTGCGCATTAGGATACACCTAGGTATGGTAGTCAGTTGAATACAGTTACGAAACTGGCAAGTAAATATAATGGCTGAAATTTAGCATGTCCAAGGTCCTTGCTTTCCTCTGCGGTCCTGTCTAAGACAAGTTCCGTTCAGGTTAGAAGCAGGACTAATATTGATGAGGCCTACTGAAATGAGTATTTTCTCTGCAACTAATTACGTGTTCTTCGTCAAATCCGCTGCCAATTACGGGTGGGCTCTTAACAACGAGCATCACTTTCGGGTAAAACCATTTCACAAGAATAAGAAGTAGATAAATCAACTGCAGCCTTTATCGGCTAATTATAACGCCATTACCCATTAAACAACAAGTCCTAATTAAACGACGGCTTCAGGTAAACCTAAGACATGTATTTTATAGCAAAACGCTGTACGCAGGGAAACGCGCGCAAACATAATGTTATACCATTGTAACAAATTCGTGAATTATTAACAAAATATAACTGTGCTATATGATCTTCGGTATTAATTTTTTTGCGATTTCTACAATTTCGGCGCAGTTTCTTGGGAAAGTTCTTCCTATATTTGTAAGTTCAGGTTTGAATCACGCTAGTGTATGTTTATGTAAAATCCACGTACAACCTAGCCTATATTTAGGATCACCATACACACGTTAAGTGTTTTCATACAAATACGAAGTGTCGCTTATGAATTCATTGTTGACTTCAGGCAAATTAATCTTCCTGATTCTTGTAATCATCCATTGGAACGCATGTATCTACTTCGCAGTGAGTTTTTTCATTGGTTTTGGTAGCGATAACTGGGTGTACCGAAATATATCGGAGCCGCGTTACGCTTCGCTACAGCATCAGTACATCTATTCATTCTACTGGTCAACATTAACTCTAACAACGATCGGAGAAGTAAGTAATCTAGCAACAACTTAAGAGGACTACGTTATTCGTTAGGACAACTATCTGCCGTTGTGTGTTAACCGTTTTTTACTATTTTCCCGAACCTGCTCCCTACTAAGGGACTCCTTCTACAGCGTATGGCTATTTAACGTAACGCATTAGATTAGAGTCAATGATGAAGCGACGATATGGCGTCGTATGGGTTCGCTCTAAATGAATTCGGTATAGAATGATAACGATGTATCGTACAATAGACAATTATAACCGTATAACAAAGGGTCATCAACTGCCGTTATGCTATAGTTAAGCACTGCATAAAAGCGGCTATTGCAGTCCATTATCTGAGGGGATCCACACCTCAAAGCACAAATGAACGGAAACCACTGCTGTTTTGTCGGCCGACCATTTTCAGTTACAGCGCGTATGGGCAATTTTCCTTTTTTGCGGCGCGCTAAACTTTTCAGATCGATGGACACTGCAAGGAAACGCATTTAGCCGGTTAAAAATCAATTTTGGATTGGCTTATATATCTATATAGAGTATCTTCATGAAATGGATAGCCGCTCACGATTGATTGTTATTGGAATTAATTTTAAGTGACTTATTATCATACTTATCTAAGTAAGCTTTTTTTTCCTGCTCACTGTAGTCAGTGAATAACGGTACATGTGAGTCTAGTTAGATAAATGAAATCATTCAAAGCATATCATCTATGAAAAGCTTTTTCTCGAACGAATTTTCTCATCATCATCATTAATAATATAACGATTACTACTATGATCGTTTTACAGAGCAGAAACAGGACGGGATTTGACGACACAGAACAAGCTTACTGACAGAGCATGCTTAGCTTAATACCAAAACTCCACAGTTCTAACTTTTTTAGTTAGCTTGTTTACTTGCTGCTATATTGTTGAAGATCATATTGGAAGACCTTTTCGAAGTAGGACAAAAACCCATCACAAGCTTAGCGAAAGTCAAGTTTCTCTCCCAAACAACGACTTGCCTTTTTTGCTGAAGGTTTACTCAGATTGTTGAAAGCAGTTTTTTTCATTTAAGGATCATGGCAGGCGCGACTATTATGTCGGAACTTCCACCTTTCCTCCTAGTGAACATGTTTGCAAGTAATAAACAAATATTGGCCGCAGTATAGTAGAACTCCAATTAGGGGAATTTTGGGAAGCTGTCTGCTGAACGCGTTCAAAGTCACAGTAGTAGAACGTACGGCAGAACTCATACGGCGGTTTTTATACGGCTGTTGTGAGGGAGGCTAGTCTGGGTGGAGCGAGTTCGCGATAGAACACGGACCCTTCCGCTTCTGACAAGCTTGTATCTGCGTGACATAAAACGAACTTTATACGCCGCTACGGTTTGAGAAATGAAGAGTAAGATATGTGAGCTTTGTTGGTAGTGGAAAAATTGGCAGTAGAAGCGAACTTCGTTAGAAATACATTGGTTCGTCTAGATGAATACGACCATTTTTAGACCTAAATGCTTTACTACATTGTGCATTCAGCATTCTTGTCTAGAAAACCCTTATCTGTTCGACACTGGGTAAAATTCATTCAGCTTGTTCATTTGATTCTATTGCAAATGTGCTTTTAGAGAATACGGCGAAATACGAATTATTTAGATACGAGAAATTATTCACGAAAAACCACCTAGACGTTGTCTCCCCCAGTTGGAGAAATAACACGTTTCCAGACGATAGCTAACAGCTGAATCTACATTGATCCCTTTCAAGGAGTAGACCCTATAACTGTAGTTAACCATTTTTCCAATTGGGTGTCGACTCATAAATAGTTCATCGTATTGGTCAAGCTTGCTGCAATTAAACATCCCTCCCTCATCAGTGCGCCATAATTTCAAAAAAGCGGATCTCACAGCCATGTCCTAACAGTTCAGAAGTATGTAAGAGGTCGCTGATTGAATGCATCATCTGATCGAGAATGCATAATGTACATTATATAATACAACATCTCATACGGTATTGGCCCTGAGACTAGCAACCGAATAAGCACGGCCTTTGGCTCTGACAAAAGGCATTGTGACATTGCCATATGCTTTGCATTATAAAGTGGTACTACGAGAAGAACGCTTTGTCTTCTTCTGTAATCGGGCTGAATCTTGGTGAACGTTCGAAGTCCTAAGTATGAAACACGAGAAAAACCGGCTTAAGTAAGTTGCATGGGAGGTACTGAACAAAAAGACAGCTTTTTTGATTTATAGGGCTATTGATAATGTTTTCTGCAATGCATTATTTAAATGATAGGTTAGGGTCAGTTAACAACAGATCGGTTCCCTACCCAACTCCGCACCACGACGAGCATCCTCTGAAAAGTTATTCGTACACCGGCGCCAGTATTAGCCCGTTTCCTGGATCAGCGTACAGCAAAAATTGCAACACATGCTACAAAGCATGCAGCGTTTGATTAAGTCAACCAATTAAAGCATTTCGAGTTCGATTTAGATAAGTCTCTATTTTAGCGGCAACTTTTGTTATCTTCTGAGACGATTTCATGATTCGAAGCGTATCCAATCATCATTAGGGCAGGCCTCAATGTATAATTTGTATTATCGTTGTTTGGTTTGTATTACTTAACTAATGTTTTGCTTAATAAGGTGCCCGTTCCGGAGCGTGACAGCGAGTACGTGTTTGTTGTAATCGATTTCCTAGTGGGTGTTTTGATTTTTGCTACGATCGTTGGCAATGTCGGCTCGATGATCACAAACATTAATGCGGCCAGGGCTGAGTTCCAACAGAAAATGGACTCCATCAAACAGTACATGGAATTTCGGTGAGTACAACATAACTTTGTCTAGTTACTAACCAACGGAGAAAAATGAATCCTTCGAAGGGGTTGCCACGTCTATACATCGTTATTTTACGAGAAAACAGCGTCAATAAAGATTGGTTACAACCGTATCGCATTATCCAGCACGAACTCCGAACGAATGCAGGACATTCGCCTTAAAACAGTAAGGTAAAATAAGTATTTAACTATAGTTCGTCCCAGGTAATAAGCACGAAACTGGACGCCTAAATATAGCGATCTTCATATTTTCTCTTTTAATGCTAATCTTCTATTTCGTTGTTGTGTTTTACCTTATGTCAGTAAGGTGTCAAAGGAATTAGAAAATCGGGTGATCAAATGGTTCGATTATCTCTGGACCAATAAACAATCGTTGGATGAGGATCGCATCACTAGCGTTCTTCCAGATAAACTAAAAGCAGAAATTGCCATTCATGTTCATCTCGACACCTTAAAACGTGTGAAACTATTTCAGGTTAGTTCCAGGATCGAAAACGAATGTAGACACACTTCGTTTTATATTCAGATCCAGCTGCTTCCTCAGACAATGCTTAACGGCAGTATCACATTAGTGAAACCCGGAACATTGTATCAGATTAGAAGTAAAATACGTTTTGCTTTTTCCTGGTGCTCTTAAATTGGCCGTATAGCTACCCTGATGCGTGTACAAGGCATAGAGGCTTTCCCTGCTATAGGTTTGTTCTCTTTCACTTCGTCGTCTTTCTACGCCAAACCCCTATCTCGTTCGGGTTCATCGTAAACACGTACATTATCTAAAAAGGTAGAGTAGAAATGGGTAACAATGCACAACGTTTAACACACGAGCAATACCGTCAAAATCGACTTCCGGCAGTCGCTGCTAGATTTAACAGTTTCATCCAATCCACGGGCCTACTATCGAATATGTTTTCGCAAAGCTGGCTTTGCGGATTATGATTACAAGTTGTGAGCCGCGATTCCGTAAGCTGAAAGTGATCTTATGGTCTTCCTGATTGAGTGTCGTACACACAAGCCTGAATCGAGATAAGTCGAGTTACAAAACTTTTTTGTCGGTAGGTTTTGTTTAGGGTTCCCGAGTGCCCAGTATATAACAAAAGTAGATCAAGGAAACCATAAGTACAGATTTTGCCCTTACAGCAGCTATTACTTAATGCGACCATATTCTGATTTCTGACACCGTATTTTCGCACCTTCATTCAAATATCAGAGCTAAAGCAAATGAGCAGACATATTGGATGTGACCGCTTCGAATATGATGCTTATGTTACCCGTCATCGAAACACGGGAGAGGCCAGCCTGGAAACAACATGCAATTTGCTTGCGACATCCGCAGGGAAAATTATCTATTTTATTAGAAACGGATTAGCGTAGGCACTTGAAGCATTGCAACAAGAATATAGATTAATAAGAGGATAATTCTTCATTCATTTATATTATAACACGGGCGTTGATCAAGGCACAGGCAGGAAGCTTTATGTACCAGTTCTTAAATTCTTCTCAGTCAATATACCCGTGTGTGTGTGTGTGTGTGTGTCATTCGTGTGTGCGCGCACAACAATTCGTCTTCCGCGTATCGATAGCTGCAGATCAGTCTCTCTTACTCCAAAAAAGGTGATTCAGTCGGGAAGCTATCTCTGCATAATGTGCATAGAGAGGCAGCGATATTGGCGTATTCTAAACAGAATAACATCATAGCATAGCACCGAAGACGAGAGAGCACTGACACAAACTAAGATCCGTAGTTTGTTGTGGTATGCGCATCGTATCACCTCACAAAATTCCAGACGTCGAATTCCTTTCCCATAACAACGAGGAGCTCCCATGATGCTGTGGGTTGCAGTTTGATTGAGGTATACGATTTCTTAGTGGAGCTCCAAATTGGGAGCTGGCTTTATTACACCGTACAGTGCAAAACCATACTTCGTATTCTAGATAATTGCGATAATCTTTTTTGGGTTTTATACCTGTCGAGTTTAACCCGCCTAGTTGCCAACTTGTGATATCCTCTCTAGTCACAATTAAAAAGATTATCAAGTTGATTTAGGCTCTGGGAATAGTTTCCTAAGCTGTATCAACAACGTTATGTTCTAATGTCTAGGAACATTTGTGTTGCAGTTTTCTGTAGCCAAGAAAATTGATTTGCAGGATAACGGGCCGACCAATGATTATATGTCATCTATGCACTAGTCCTATTATATTAGCAGAACGAATTGGAATTTATATAGCTGCAAAAAACAAGTTACCGTACAATAAAAGACAATATGTACTCTGCAGAACACGTAAGTTATGTTAGAGGTCGCACGTCTCTAATATTACGCGCTAACCGAAAACAAGCTTTTAAATTGGACGTTTGAATTTTCCAGTTGTTATGGGTTTTGTTATTAAAGGCTTGTAACTTAATCGAAACTCGATCAGCGGTCGATAAAATGACAATAACCCGACAGTCGGTACGAGCGTGAGCGGTTATCTCGATATATTTATCATTAAAGTCAAATGAATATGCTTTTGCTGGATGGTCACTCGAAATATCTCGGAAACAGTCTGAGCACTGATAATTAATATGATCAGTAGCTTATAAAATTCAGTATAGATTTAACTTGATTTCTCTTCCATGTCTGTTTCTCATTGAAGTTTGCCGTATGTATTATTTACGAATTTCGTTTGTTGTTTTTTTATTATTTTTTGTACACGATTCCATTTCGTATACATTTAATTTTCTTAATTACATTGGCCTTTTTCTCCATTATTAATTGTCTAATTCTATTATTAATTGTATTAGATTAAATTGTCCTGTCGGAAAAGTCGTATAAAAACTAAAGTAGCTGTATTGAGGTCTTCCAGGCGGAAGTAAAGTGTTTTCTAAAAAAAATGCAGAACGAGTTCTTCAGCCAGTAAGACAATTATTATTATTACTATTATCACGTATACGTCGCCGATAATAAATGATTTTACATCTGACATGTAGCGTACGCGCACCAGGTACGTCTGAGAGTATTATCGTTTCGATTCATAGCTCCTTTAATTCATCTGATCGCAATTTTAGTATTGAGCATTTATTAGAATGTGACAGTAGCATACTCGTGCAAAATTCAATGAATTTATGCAACTGTTTTGGCGCAGTAAACAATCAAATATATGATGCATAGAGATTCCGGTATCATTTACCTTTGTTTTGCTACGATTTTATTTTTATAGGACTGTGAACCTGGCTTACTGGTGCAGTTAGTGCTTAAACTTCGACTTCAGGTACGTAATCGGAGATCAAACGATACTGGACTCATACATCGAAAACGGACATTTTCACGAAGAGTGTGATTAACTGAATGTCTATTAAATGACGAAGCACCTTTGACAAGCTTCTTTGGTACAGTCACGTACTATTGTCACTCATAAATTGAAATGGGTTACTAGCTGTTACGTAGATTTACGCAGCCTCTGGTAAAAGTTTCTGAGATACGTGCTGGTAAAGTGTCTGGCTATTAAACTTAAGTGCACGTGAATGTAGTCTAGGTCCGAGACGCGTGCAGGCACACCTCGTCTCATGCTAAATAGGTCTAGCTGCGTGAAGCAAAACTTTACGGTATTATTAATCGTACAACTCGAAGAATTTAGCTACTTCTAAGCATTAAATATTTCAGGCTTACATTTTCGTTTAATAGTAAAGACCTTTATGCTCTTTGGTTGTTAAACACCGAGATAAGAGGTACTTTAATATTTCGTATTTTAGGTGTTTAGCCCAGGCGACTACATCTGCCGCAAAGGCGATGTCGGTAAAGAGATGTACATTGTGAAGCGAGGCAAGCTTTGCGTAGTTGGCGACGATGGCAAAACGGTGTTCGCGACATTGCAAGATGGGAGCGTATTTGGGGAACTTTCGATTCTCAACATCCAAGGAAATAAGACTGGTCAGTAATATCACGCATGCTATAGAACATTAGAGTTCCCCCTTTAGCATATTTTTTAATGATATTCTTTTGAAAAAAGGTTTCAATGATTTGTCAAAGTTTGCTTAGTTCACTTGATACTGTATCTAGTATAATGCTGCGTGCTGATTGAATATGCCAAGTGACAAATATAAAACGATCCATTTCCAAAACCTGTTTCGACTGAAAAGGAAATCGGCGTACCGCCAATGTACGAAGTCAGGGCTACTCCGATCTGTTCGTACTATCAAAGGAAGATTTGTGGAGCGTCCTCGAAGAATATCCGGAAGCGAAGGAAATGTTAATTCGAAAGGGAACTGAAATTCTCCGGAGAGACGGATTGCTAGATGAGGACGCTATTAAACAGGTATTATTGTTTCTTAGTGTGTGGTCAACCATTAAGAATATCCGTTCGTCATAGCTAATTCATTCCATACAACTAGGCGGAAACAAAATAAGGGCGTTAGTCTCCAAAAGTATGCCAAGCACATCTAATGTGCACTGGTCTTTATTTTCTATGACAATAGAGAAAATTAGAGTAAAGTTTCCCAAAAATGAATGCTAATAATAGTAATAATAATAATAATATTTGGTTATAATTCCATATATTTTAGCAAAACCAACAGCCTTTGTCAACGCGGGACCTGACAGAAAACTGTTTCAACCTCGAACGGCAAATGGACGCTATTAAATCACAGATGACAACGCTTTCCCTAGAAATGGATAGGGCTCATAGAGAAATTCGCGAAAGCATACTCAGCCTTAACCGAAAAATAGATGAAGGAGGAATACCGGTTGACATGTAACAATAAAAAAAATAACCTTCATAAACAGATCGACATATCGGTGTAGACGAGAGGCACACCAGTAACATCGCGACCTGGCGACGATAGCATAAAAGCAAATTATAAATAGATAGATATAATTATTTGAATACCGTAAAGCCTAAGGATAATGACTTCAATGACCCTGTTATAGAAGGAGATATCACTATCTATAATAGATATTATAATAAAATAATAAGGTTAATATTAAAGATCTGTACATGTGACACACATTATAAACTCGAGGAGATAAAGCAAATATAAAATGCCTTTTAATGATATATCAATAAAATGATGTCAATATATTACACACTATTCAACAGTGAACTAGAAATAATTGAGCATGACTCGTAATAGTAAAACAGTCTTGTTTTGCGGAAGCTTACGATGCTTTATCAAAACTTACCCCTAAGGTGTATTTGGTCAAACAATGCATATGCACCGTATGGAAGATGTAAACTAAATTTATAATTCTAAATCAAGGAACAAATATAATAGTAAATTGGCCTACGGACAAGCGTCTAGAGTCAGGCGAAAACCGAAACCTCTCATGTAATACTCTTAATTATTTCATGAGTAACTGTTTCCTAGTAAATGTTTCAAGATGCAAATTATAATATAAAAAAAAATTTTCATATAGTGCTTGAGACGTTAACCTGATTATCATATACGTAAACAACAGGATACATTACGCGAGTAGGCGCGTTAGCTAGTATGGACCACCGAACACATATTGATTCATAGAACATGTCTCAAGGTAAAAAGGGCACTTAATTACGGAATATTTCATACACGCGAATTATGAATTATGTAAATATATCCGACGAAAAACATCGTTAATCATAATATATTATTTATTGCTGCAGAATTAATCGACGAAGAAACATATGGGGCACTGAGTAATAGAAGTTCAACAAAAGACACGTTATGTGCTTGTAAATGAAAAAAATAAACTGATTGTACCTAAACTGTAAATTTTCGATTTTATACATATTTGATTATTTTATTAAATAGCTCGAACAACTTATCACCACTATGGAACAAAATAGGTTTTCTTACAACTCGATAGAAACCACTATGGGCTTCAAAACCACTATGGGATAGAAATCCCATAGTGGTTTTGAAGCTAATCTCGCAGTATATTCATATGTCTGAAAGAAGAAGCTTTAGAAAGGTAACGTAAATGTTCACCTAACAGAAAACACAGAATTTTTATTAAATTCTACCAACAAGTTCATTTATTAATAATGTATTACTCTCTACGACCTTCCCCCATCTCTCAACGAATTTATTTGTTCCGTCTTACAAAAAACGCTCACCTCTGCTATTGAACTCTTTCAGCTATTTTTCCAGAATTTCTTCATTGTAAAAGGTGTTGCTGCTTATTTCACTTGTGAGTGATCAGGAAACGTTGAAGTAAGGCTGCGAAAGAACCTTTGATTCCAGCCCTTGCAGGGTGACGTCAACAACCCTTGCCGTGTGGTCTGGCATTGACGTAGCGAAAAATGACCACGCACTGTCATTAGATAGCATTGTTTTCTTAATAAATTTAGGCGAAATATAGATATTATTTTTTTTTTTATTACTATTGATCGTCTTGTTTTTCAGAAATATTTAGCAGTGCTTAAGATTCTTCCAGTCTTATTGAATACAGATCATAGTCTTCTTGAGGTAAAAATCTGGCTTAACTCTCACGCATATCTTCCGGATTTATTCATCCTTTTCTTTGCTTCATATTGATGTGAAGACAGAACTTTTTATCACGCGTAATCGTTCCGTCCAGCACACCTGCCAGAATGGTTACGTACTGCCCGGCTTTCAGTTTCAAGACGTCGCTATTGAACTTGGCAAGTCATCCTTGAGTAGTCCTCTTAAACATGAAGTACATGTCACACACGGCACAAATATCCCGGGCAGCTTCAGCAACCTTGTGAACTCGGTAAAAGGCGGAATAGACCAGATGTCGTGGGCGCATTTTTCCTTAATCAGGAACATTACTCCTCAAAACCTAAACTCGACAAAAAATATTGTCCAACGTACAATGAAATTATAACGGACTTACAAACAAGAAACGGCGCTCTCGGGTTTATCCACTTCGAAGTGGAGAGGTAATAACCAAAAAAACATTTGAAACAGCGCCATTCTTTTATCGTATGACCTGATAGCTGTAGTTGCAACAGACAGAGAATCTTATGACATATCAACAGCTAAGAGTCATAGAGTAGTGAGCGGTTGCCTGAGTGACCCCAATCAGTTGAGTACTAACTAATGGGTTAGGTTTCAAAAACAATGTGAACGGCATGCCACACAATATGCATCGCCTCGGAATCGCTGCTGCAAGTAGCAGTAGTATAATATAGTGATGCCTGTGACCCACACAACTCTGCCAGATACGACAAGGTGATACCTTAAAGTGTAGGGCATGGTTTCTGCCGTTCTGAGAGTGCAGAGTCACGTCATCTTTATGGCACTTCAGTCTGTCCACGTGATCAAAAAGCTAGCAGGTTTGTTTGTTAATTTCGTTTACCTCTTGAACGACGTCATGTTATACTCAAACTTCACAGGTGGTGCGAAACGCTACCGTTTTAGACAACCTACTGCTTTCAGTTAGAAACACGGCAGTAGTTGCAGATCTGGTAAAACAATGCAAAGAGTAAAAAAATAGCCACTAAATGGCAGTTGACAGGGCGAAAATGATCGGAGAACCTACGCCGACATTGCTAATAGCTGTTTAGAAATTAGCAAGCGAAAAATTAGGAAAAGCAAAATGTTTTCTTCCAACGACTGTTTATACAGTAGAGAAGAGGCATGCAGTATTTGTGCTCGGTTCCCCGCAAGCCAGCAATGCCTGGCCTACAGCGATAAGTGTCCGCTATCAGAGTTATACACCTTTACCTTAAGGTCATACATTTATTATTGAAGGAACATGTACATATATACGAGAAACAGGCGACTGCATGATGGTCACCTGAATACTTGTAAAAACACCAGCACATCGTTAATGTGCTATTAGTAAACTAGTGACTACCTACGTGTGACATGTGCAAATGACAATTCCTTTCGACACATCTCAATCTGTTTCGATTTGTGCAATAGGAAACAAGACAGCAAGGATACATTTGCTAGCTTTTCTATATACGTATTACCTCCAATGAAGACAAACCGTAATGATGTACCCCTACAAAATTTATCATTTATATGTACTTTTCGTAATTTTATAAAAAACGAAAATTCGACCATCCAACACCTTGGAGACTTAGAGCTGCTGTTTACAGATTGCATTTCGGTACTTTCCGTTGGCACTCTCTCAAATCCAAGGTCTTTTAGATCCTTGTGACGGTTCTGTGGCCTTACATCCGTCAGAAAATTAGATATTACCAATTCAAGTTTGTTTTTCCTTTGGTGCTGCCAACCCTGCGCATCGAATTTTATTGAAGAGGAGTATATCTGGTGTGTAAAATTGTGTTGAATCTAGAATATAAGCCGCTCTGTTTTATCCCCCTAAAGTCATGATTCAGGGATGTTTATATTTAACCTACGCCTAGCAACTTCTCTTGCTCTCAACAGTATTGTGCCTTTTCCATATGAAACAGCAATTCAACCGATCGCTCAATCATCAATTCAAAAAAATAGCGGACATAAGAGCTAGCCACAGCTTATGGAACCACTCTAATCTACATATGTTTATTTTGTATTTATATGTCTATGCGTACGCACATATTAAATAAATGCCAACAGCGCACGTCCAGCAGGTAATGGGAAAAAGTAAATAGTAATAACAACTGATGCAGGCCGTGAGTTATACGTTAGAAAAACCCAACCCCAGTTGGATTTTAACTAAAAGAGGATCTCGTTACTTCACAAAAAAAGATAAACAGTACCTCGAAATAGTTAACCACTATACAAAGTGGACGCCTGTCAATAATTGAATGACTCGGAGTCGGCATAATAATAATAATGATAATAAAATGAAATCTTAGAGATAACTGAGATAAATTAAGTCAACCACACATCAGAAGATTCTTCATGGTAAATACATCTGCGCAAAAGATCACTTATAAATAAAAAAAAAAAAAATGTAGGCGAACGCTTTAAAAAGCAACAAAAATGTCGCATCGGGCAGTCGCTCACTCAGCTTTATGAAAACACAAGCTATCTGTTTAGTGGATAACTTTTCGAAAATGCGCCGTTATATGAACTGTCTTCGCGCACACGCAGGTGAATAATATGAATAATAGGAGCCATAATAAAGGTCTAAATTCCATGTTCACATATAATAGGTAGGTCAGTAATTGTTAAAAATCTTTGCTATAACGTTGATTTTGTAGATCTCCTATCATTGCTTTTCTCAATATATATATATCCATACCTAATCAGCCATTTCGTTATCACTTCCAATATTTTCGCCTGAAATTCACCACAAAGAAATTCAAATCATTATTCCATGATATACGTTTTATACTGTTGAGACACGAAAATATAAAAAGTTATCGCTTACCGTTTCCATGAAGATGCCTAAAGAGTGACTTACTCAATAGGGTTGACTATCTGGTGGGGAGCAACGTCAAGATGACGCCAACAAATCTATTCATGAATCATCTTTATCACAAGCTTTGTACATTTAAGATTTCACATAAATGCACCATCAAGAAGGTGGTCTCCCTAGGTTTTCATTATGGCACTAATTCGCTTCACCTAGTTTTTTCGCGCACATGTAGCCCTATCTTCAAAATCGCTCTATTTTTTCTCCACCTTTTTATTACCATCCATGTAGAGTACATTGCTTTTAAAATACACTTCTTATATAAGAAAGCTATATCACATAATCCAGGGGCCGCTCGACGTTATTTCTAAGTGTTGACTCTCCCGCTGAAACATATACCGTTCTAACTGTTGCCACCAATTTAGAGTAAACAGAAGACCTGAGATTCTCACCTCGTAGGGAACAGAGTTAACAATTTCGACGAAGAGAAAATGGACCAATGACGCCTCTGGGCTATGTGCCGCGCCAGCCAATGTAAACCACTGTTAGTGCATTGTGCGGAAATTTCCGCTCCTCGACAGACGACAACTTTATTTGTTCACTCACTTCTTTAGGTGAAAATGTCCTCATCGCTGAATACAATTTCTTATAAAATTTACTGGCTTTTTCTTTCAGTCTAATCTATCCAATGTTCGGCCATCCAGTTTTATATTGTCTTCAAAAATGAGTGAAGTTAATAATTTCATTGACAAAGCTAAGGAAGTTCTATATAATAGATGTTGTCTTTAAGTAAAATCTTAACTGCACAGTATTCAAAGAAGAAAAAGATTTATAAAAATTCATTTTGTCAGCAAACGTTTTTTGTTGGCATCATTTCGAGTTGCTTCGAAGTGGGTGGCCATCTTTGTAACTACAATAAAATAATACAACATAAAATTCTTCAAGAATTTTCAGCCAGGATGCGAATGATATTGGGTTAAATAAGTACAACAGTTTATCGTTGTACGCTCACTTTGGCTGGCAATCACCCGATAACTATTAACATAATCACAGTATAAATCAAGATTGCAACAATCGTAAGGAAAACTACACAACGCAGGTTCTGTTTTTCTGTACATATTGTGTACAACGTATCCAACGCAATTTTTCCTTTTTGGGCGTCTAATGATCTTTTTTAGAGATGTATCTCCAATTCATTATTATAGTTATTTGTTCGAATTGAGAAAACGAAATATTGAGCAAAGACTTACCGCTCACATCTGCGGTACTGACATCCGCTCTGCCTATACTGCCGCTGCTACCGTCTATCGAAATATTCGGTTCAGAAGGTATCCCACATGATGTATCCGGACCCCAGAGTCGCAGGGTTCCATCATCAGATGCAGACACAAGCAACTGCGGAAAGTGAGGGTTCCATGCAACGCTATTCACCGTCCGTATGTGACCACTTAAGACTTCGACTGGCGTTTCTTTCGATCGGTTGAATATGTACACCTTGTGGTCTATGGATGAATACGTAAATAAACACAAAAGAATCGCACAGCGATAGGAAACAGAGAGCAGTGAGTAGTACATCCCTAAATAAATAGCATAGGATCCAATAGATCAAAACAATAAAGTCAATCTCTTTAATCAATTTAACTCCGAGTCCGATCCTGTTCGTCAGCAGAGAGTACTTCAGCAGTAAAAACTGACACAGTATTATACAAAATTAGCAACGTAATGAAGAAGTTAGAATCCATACCTTCGCTACCCGATGCAATGAAATTGTCTCCGATACCACCAAAACAGGACTGAATTGTATAGTGACCTTGCACGACGCCCCGGAAACGCTTCACCAGTGTCTTGGTTTCAATATCCCAAAGATGCAGGCCCTGTCCGTTTAAGTTGAGCACTATCTGTTTTCCTGCCTTATCGACCGCGAACGACATGACCGCGCAACTTTCCGATATACTATTCGATAACCAAATATATGTCTTCATATATTAGATGATGATTATGCGATTTTTTCTCTTCCAGGCATACTGGGGGAACTCTACCAAACGAACTCTAGCTCTAGTATGTATGTACATATATATATATATATATAAACTGGTGCGGCGAATCGAGCAGTCGAATTGGTGTGAACTTACAAGTGCTCCTCGCGCATATCATCTGTGTAGTATTTGCGTATTCTTTTATGACTATCGGCAGCAAGTACAGTTTTGCCGTCGTCAAGGCAGCGCATATAGACAATTCGGACGCCTTCCCAGGAATCCACAACAGTCCCGTCAAGATCACAGTAATAGAACTGCCCTCGAGCACCGCCTACTAAAAATGTAAATGTATTACTTCCTCGGATCGGGGTTTGCCAACCACACGCCGTCAAACTATCATCCGCAGAATACGAATGCTTCTGGCGGAGACGACCACTCTAGAAGTAAACGAGAAAAGAACAGTTAGATCTATTGTTAACTATTAAGTTTACTAGTTAGTCAATAATGACGGATCACCTATTACATTTATGTGGATAATATCAGCTTATACGAAAAACTTGTTATCTCATTCAAACGTTGCTAGAAAATTAAGTCCAATAAGGCTCTACCCAAAACAAATTCAAGTTCATTTAAAAATGCATCTGATTTTGGACTCATCACTGTCTATATACGCTACAGAAAATACTTACATTGAAAAATCCTCAACAAGGAAAGGCTGATCATTTTAAATCCAAACCGGTTAGGGCTATTGTCCACTTAAATTGGAACAATTACATTAACGCCATCCTTTTGCGTGTAAAAGAGAATAATATCGATAAGTACCGTAGATATTTTTTATCAGCTTCTAGTCAGTGGAAAAAGATGTGGGTATTATAGTACGTTCTCAACTTACGAGGGTGTCCCACATCCAGATATCGGAAGAATCTTCAGTACCGCAGACGAGCAATAAGCTATCATCTGGACTCCACGAGATACAGGTGATTCCATAAGTATGACCTTCAAGAGTGTAACGGACCTTCAATTGCAGTGTTTCGGGATCTAAATCCCAGAGAATAACTGTTGAATCCTTTGAACCCGTTGCCAGACGCAGTCCACTGTGGCTCCACACACATACCCAAACCTCGTCCGCATGCTCCGACAGAATCTAAAAGCCAAGTTGGCCAATAAACCAACAATTCGCAAAATCATAAATTTCGCTTCGTGAAATCACACTATGGTCAAATTGAAAGTCTTTTCGTGGAACTTGATAAGTGTATAGCCTCTGTTACTACTGGATACTCGAATATGCATTGCCAACGTTTTACAGGCCTAGGTCGACCTTAAAGTTCTATTATATATAAATTCCCTACGTCAGTGGTTATACTTTTGAAAAAGTACAAACTAGGTTTAGAGACACTCTATCGATTGGTATTATTACCAATTTCGAAGGTGGAACTAGAGAGTTCCAAGTATTTCTTGTAAGTTACTGGTATGCTATTTACCTGTGTGGTAGTGCACGGGAAGTTCCTTCGATCGCAAACGTGATCGGTGAGAAGAGATACATCTGGCATCAACTCTTCTTCGCCAGCTACGTTGTCCGGCCCCAAATAATGTAAAGGACACCGGTCAAGCTGATAATACTGCGCCTAAACGAGATAGATAGAAGGATTTTCAGCTTGCTTCATATTAGTGACACATATATGAAAGTAACTGGACGATTAAACAAGTAATTATAATAAACTACGAAGCACCCGGAATGTACGTTTCACAATGCATTCTAGTAAAGACCCCTTCCAGTTGACAAAATAGAATAGAATGTGCGAAAAAATGGCTTTTCGTCGTCAATAATGTAACGTAATTAAGTCTCAAAAATGAGTAGCCCAGCATTTGAATTCTGCGCTTTCCTTGAGTTTTCTCAGATTCACCAATCTCTACTAGTAGCTATCATGTTATGTTCAAGTTCGATTTGGGCTAATAGTAGCTTCGAGAATATAACATCTATCAGTCAGTTGTTGGTACCTTGGCAAGGAGATTCCGTAATCTTTTCGGAGGCAGCATTATTGATGCAGGAAGGAATTTTTGTAAACGTTCCACTAAAGTCAGACGTGTTTCCCCCACATCTATTCGAAATGTGTCCAATACAGGATTTGAATCGGTGATCATCAGGTATCTGTAAGCCAGGTTATATCGCCATTCAGAGAAGTCCGCTGGTCACTATTAAAAAGTTGAGGAATACATGTGAAGCAGTAACAGACGATAAAAGGATACGACAAGGCTAACCTAAAAACTTAGAATAGATAGAACAGATCAAAAACTTCAAATTTATTATTTTACGAAAATTTTTATTTTTTTTAAATATATGTTATTGCAGCATTAGACTACGCACAGCCAGTAGAACTATCCTATACTTCAAATTTTGTCTGAAGCTCAAATTCATTTTTACTTTAACTTACCTGGAGAGTTCGTGGACCCGAGAAAAGTTATGTCGGAGCGGACTAATTTGATGTCGAAGGCAATTTAATGCCTCTAGCGGTTTGTTCCGTACGAGAAGTTCGAAAAATTTCTGCTCAAAAATGAGGAAATGCATTTTGATTCTTGCATTTGAACCCAGCAGGCTAGGTTCCAACTCATCAACATCTGCAACAGCGGCTTCCAACTGAAAATTATGTAGCAACGAATGCTGGTTGAAGCTTGGTTTAATGTGAAGCAAAACACCGTCAGACATAACATGTAGAGATAATAATATGATCTATTTCTGTGGACGAAACTCTCTGTAAAATGTAAAAAATTTCACATTTGTTGCGTTGACAGTGCTAATCGTGGCTCATACATTCGAACATTAATTATCATTATTACTTTAATTAATAATGGATACTATTTTTTAATAGACACATCAACTAGAAGCAAAAGTTACCTCGCCATCCATGACATGTCTTTGAAGTTTGCTTGCCAGTGGGTGATCGAGAGTAAGGCCAGATTCCTCGGCAAGAGCGTGCGCTGTTCGCCTAAAAAAGAACAGACCATTGAAAACCATAATATAGAGCTAAAAATATCAGTAAGTAGATACTAGAGTTGATTATAGGTAGTATTGAATCCAGTTTTTGTTTAATATATTAAATCACGTTATTACATGAAATACCGACGATATTTGCACCGTTTCAATAAAACAGTAGACTCGAATGTAAGTGTATAATATGTAAATGCGTTCTAGATTGAATACATTTAAACGAATACGCCTTAAATAACAAAAAGGGTTTGGTGAGTGGAGCTCTCTTAGCGCCATACTAGCCACCACTTTTGTACAACCAATTCTTAGTAACAAACTAAGCATTTTTCTATTGCGCATTTACGCCAAGCATTGTTGATAGTGCAAATGTTTTTAGCTTAAGACATACCGTGACATTGCTGCTTTTAACAGAAACTATTAAACAGATTATGTGCGATTAACGAGTTATCATTAAATACAAAGTACTGGATTTCATTGTGCTTAAACGTTAGCGGTCTGTATGTTGCAGCGGGCGTACGCTTATCCGCTATTCTGGATATAGAAGAGGATATAGAACCAGTTCTTTTTAGAAAAAAAAAAAGCATGCTCATCACAGCGGAAAACAGTGAGTAGTTTTCGTGCTCTTGGCGAAACTAAAGTATTATCCAACCTCTCAGTGCTGGTCAAATTTCCTTTAGCAAAATTAAAAATATCTTTGAGCCAAACTTAGTTTTTGGGTTTCTTACTGGAGGTTATTATCGGTTTAGTACGTTTTTTTTTGAAAAAAAAACGTGAACCGGAAGATTTACTAGAGGATTTAAGCTCATCAAATGAAAAATCATCAAACCAATTTCGACACGCTTAGATTTTAGTGCAGAATTCAACGGACGTTTTGAGAAGCAAAATATCGACTGCCAATTGAGTCGCCCATATGACTTCGGAAGGAATTAGTGCTTAGAGACTTTAGGCACGCTTCGGACTATTTGAGCCTTCTCGCGTTTTTTTCTAAGCTTTGGTTTGCTATCGATCTAGAATTTTATTTCATTGGAATTTTTTTGCATATATCGTTATTTAAATGACACCTTAGCGAATTTAGGTCTGTCAATAGGTCTCAACGCACAGTTACTATCCAAAAGTTATTTTGTGATTAAAGAAAAAAATATTTTCAAACTGACTTGTGAAAGGTTTAAAATCTCAAGCTGGACCTGTAATCGTACATTAAATGTACATTAAATTAATATGACCGTCAGAAATTACATTTCTATAACAAGCAATATCTGTTTTTCATTAGATATAGTCTTTGAGATAACATTTTAGGTTTAGACGGAACACTATGTGAATCACATATGTTTCTGACATATGAAAGTTTTCTTTTAAATCAAGTTAATCTGACATGGAAAAGTAATTGTAGTCTGTGGGCTGAAAAAAGTATCGATTATTGCTAACGAAGAGCATACATTTGAAACTACAAAAAAGCGAGATTTGAAAAAATCTTCTGACGTTTACCAACTTTTTATTAAAGGAAATGGCAAAGCCCTAAAAAAATAGCGATATAGGTTAATTTTACTACTATATAGATTCATTTACACTGTTACCACAACATTGTTTTTATTTTGTAGAAACGGCGTTCCATATGAATTTTCGTATTCTCCTTATACCTTAGGGGCTTACTTTTCATAACTACTTCTATTTTTTAAACTCTCTCTGTATATCTATATATGTAACCCACTGCTAATCGCAGATTACGAATAAAATTATTTCTTCTATTATAGGTATATCCACGTTTGGTGAAGTAATAGAATTGTAATCCTTCAGCGTGAACAACAAGGAGCTACAAGTTAAACTTCATCACTAATTTAATCAACAATTCTACCACAAGCTTTTTTTGCTTAGAACAAACCTGCATTCGATAAACCATAACAAAATAGATAACTTCTTAGTCTACCGATTCGAATATTTCCACTTTAGATGAATTTTTTTATGATAAGTATTTCGATCGTTTAGATCGTAGTACATACAGTTCAGATCGTAGTAATAAAGCTTCTACCGAAAATCGTATATGAGGAAAACACTACATGTCTAGATGTATCTGGTCACCATATTTTCCTAAGATGTTTTTATCGCGAAGACTAATTGATGCAGGAGTGTTAAAATGCGGTGCAGTATTTTCTGCTTTTTTGAATTGTCGTGACGCCACTTTCCGGCTGGAGAAAAACTCCATGAAACAAATGCTTGCGGATGTCTCGACGGATATATCGCGTATTATATTGATATTCTCTAAAGATCGTAATTATGATAGCATGGATAGAACAGACTAGTTCGTACCCGTATAGCCGCCGCCACCTGACTCAGCATTAAAAAGGATTCAAAAAATGATGGCTTACTCACCACTGATGAGTTAAGGTAAAATCGTTTGGATTTTTTTGTGAAAATTTATGAGCATTCTTAGCGCTCTGGAATAACCATTCCATGATAAAGGATAACGATTTCCTTTGAAGCAGTGATTTCAATTGACAGTCCTCTATAACTTCTTTCTTTTTTTTTGACAGTGTTTGCCAGTGTCGGATATCACCGTTTAATGTCTGAGTATGAAATCTAGCACAGGTCCGAAGATGTGCATTTAAGAACAAAAAATCATCTAAAAAGCTAGTCAATCGCCTCACGCAACTTAAAGTCTCGAGAAAGATCCTTTACACATAATACTATACCCATCCGTTCATAAACGTCCCTTAAAAGCTCTGTAGCCATCAATATAATAATACAAACTTAGCAATATCAGGAAGTGAACCACGTACTGTAGACCAAGCGTTCGTAGATGTTGTCCAATAATCCGAATGATGTCTAGCTCGGACGGGTCTCTCGATGGCAGGTTGAGCGTGACAGATCCTCCATTGCGTCCTGGCGAGTCCCTAGATGTCCCCCCACTTCTATGGTTCCCTTCCATCGACGACACATGACCGTTCGTCGAGTTGCTCGAAGTCGAACTCGAACTACTGTTGTTACTATTGCTTGCACCTGTAGTGGCCCTGCTACTGTTAGTACTATTACTATTTTCCGAGGGGTCGGCACCCCCGCCATTCGCATCGGTCGAACTTAGCTGATTACCGGCGTTCGTCATCGTCATATTGGTTGTTGCTGGCTCGTTATTCGATCCTGTGGTGCCTGACGCTACAGCCGTCGGGATGCCACTATTTCCGTTGCGGTATGACGCATCGCCATCAGCTGATATTGATGACATTGTCGTGACTGCTGTTGCGGCGGCGGAAAGATTTGATGACGAGGATCGACGGCAAGATGAACTACCGGTGTCGGCCGTCACCTCTTCTTCAACTGGGGACGAAGTCGCCGATGACGAACGGACGTCGTCGGGGGCGACGACGCCCCCACGGGGGGCAGGTGTCGCGGGCGTCGTTGCCTCTCCTGTCGTTCTGGTCGTTGTCGCTGTAACACTTGTTGTTGCCTGGCTTCTCCCCCCTGTTTCGGCAGCTGTCGCTGTGGACGCTGACGAAGACGACTCGGCTGGACCGGACGTGCGGGCTCGCTTAAGTGAGATATCGGGAGGCGATCCCCCGTCCTCGGGCCTCCTGCGTGACGCCACCCTCGGTTCCGGACGTCTCCCCGTGACGCCAGCCAATGTCTCTCCACACCACCACCCCTAAAAAGTAGCACTGCTGCGAATGTCGTGTCTGGGCCAGCCGTTCTCGCACCAACGACCACGACCGCAGCAGCCCAAGTTGTTAATGCCACCGGATCCGCCACTACTGCCCCTGAATGGCGGATGGCTGTACCACGATACTCCGTAGTGAGCGACCAATCTTAGGAATTAGAAGAAAAGCGGACAGCTAAGCACTGTCCTGTTGCTTCTATACGTGCTACTGCTGTTGCTGTTAATGTTGTTAATGCTGCTGGTGCCGTCGCGACTGGCAAAATTTTGTTGATGCTGACGATCACTTGCTGGTCGGATGGTTTAAGTGCACGACGAGATAACGACGGTGCTGCGAGCCACTGAAACACGCACATATATATAAAGAACAAAGCACTGCTGTCAGCAGACATGCACCAATGCTGGGACGAAAGGCCAAGAGCACCTTAGCAGGCACACAAACATTGGTGGCCAGGTGAATGCAAATTAGGACGACAGGACCCGAACTTGACAATTTTATTCACTGAACAATTGTCGTATGTATGCTCCTTACCCAGGGCACACGGACGAGACAGCAAAGAAGCCACCTAGCCAGCCAGTCAGCAAAACCAGCTATACTAAACAACAGCAGCAGCAGCAGCAGCAGTCTTTACGCATTGGTCTTTATATGGCTGTGATCAGAAACGACTATGCAATCGTGATTACCACTAACTCGCCACAGTTGCAGGTGGGGAATTCTCAGCTGTCACAGCACGAAACCATGGACGAACAACGAGTGTCAGTTCGATGCGGCCGATTGCTTCGTACGGCTGCTTCGTAACTAGCTGTTAGCATTCAACGGTAGTAAGCTGGTACGCCACTCGGAAACCGACACAATACGCGCGATGCCCGACCGTGGCTTTATCTCTCGAAGTTGTGTTTCTATTACTGAGGATAACGGCAGCAGTAGCAAATCAGCACAGACAACACAGACGACATAAGCTGCAGTCTCTCCATATAGGCGCACAGAGGCAGGCCACCGTTGCTGCGTGCGACGCCTGGATGTTAGATGCCAAATGCTCGATTACCGCCTCGCACAACTCGCCTCATTCATCGTTAGTGGCTAGTGCTGATTAATGGTTAAAACGAGACGAAGACTAACGAACTTCGCACGATCACAGATGAAAGGAAAGAAAGAATACTCTGAGCTTGTTCGTCGTTGGACGGTTGGTCATCCAGAAAGCTCTCCACCAACAGTACCCACACACACAGCAAACAAACACAGGACGAAATAGGCAGCAGCAGAAGGAGCAGTAGCAGCAACAAAGTAGCACAACGCTGTCTCCTCGAACGGCCTTATCAAACAGCTGATTCGTGGTGTTGATGACGTCACGGTGGACGACGGTTGTCTGCTAAGTGGCGAGGACAGTATGCCAGGATTGGTTGCGGAAGACGACAACGGAAATAAACGGAACGGAAGCCCGCGAAAAGCAGCCATTTTGTATCATCGCGTACTTTAGATAGGAAAGGTTTTTGGTCCTTGGCTAACCGTCGACCTGAAGTGCCTCATAGCTTTTGGCTATGAAGTGTCTTTGGACGTTGTTTCGTTGGAAAACATGGACAACATAGTTTACCGTTTTTTTCTGTTCTTCTTTTTTATTTATTTTTTTAAATCTTAGGGTAGTAATTTTGCTACTTTTCTTACCACGTAAAGGGACATGTACATTAGAATGAGACGTTTAACTAAATTGCTTATTATGTATTGCTTGCAGCCCTACGTAGCAATTACAATAACTAGGCTAGATAGATTTATATTAAAAGCAATATTTGTTGTTCTTCAGCATATATAATTAGATCGTCATATTTAGATTAACTTTGTTTTCTTGTAATATATAGTTACTGGGATAACTTAATAGAAAAAAAGCAAATATTTTTGCGTCAAACACTAAATTTGTGTGTAGTTTTACAAAGTAGCAGCTTTTTAACTGTTTGGATTTTCTTGGTTTAATACCTCCCCCATGGCAGGACATCTTTAAGTAAATGATTTTTTGTTAGGTAATGTTAAAAACAATGCATGTTAAGGAAATGCAGTCTATGCGTGAGAATGAATCAACAATAGTTTAATGCTTTTAATATAGACCAAGCTCTGTTTTCAATCAATTATTTAAATACAAAGGGTGATCACTCACTCGGGTTTTCCTATTTACGTCAACAACAGCAACTCTTAAAGAAAAACTCCTTAACGTTTATAGACAAGAACATAATTTATCGGTAAACTCTGTCCTGCTGTTATTTTGTTTTTCACCTTTCTAACCGATGACTTGACTATCACATAGCAACACGTAATAACAATGCATATATATATATATATATATATATATATATATGGTTGTCGGTCTCTATGAAAACAATACGAATCGCACCCAACACATCCATAAATACACGTATGCCATTTTGTTTTCAATGATTGAGACATCTTTAAAGTCAATGTTTAACATGCCGTGGCGTTCTTTCAGCGATTTTCCTTTAACCATATATAGTAACTAAATCTTTGTTTTTTTTTAGAATCTTGTTCAAATTTTGACAGTGAAAACTCACTGAGAAAAAGATCGGCTAGATGGGTAATGTTAAAGTAGAAACGGGGCTAAAAGATTCAGCAAAAACTTTCTATTATCAACGAACTACGAGCTGGAACGTTATCGTGGTAAAGAATATATGAGACGTTCCCTCGGAACCCTAGGTTCATCCGTTAGATGCGGTGACACGATCGTTTTGGAACTTTCTAGAAACGCTTTTTTGAAAATACGAGGAAATGTGTTCTACCATACTTTTAACTCCGGGCTCTGTTTACGTCCCTTCATAGCTAAGGTCGAGCAAACGGTGTCGTTCCAAAGCTTGCTGTATTCTTGAAAATAAAGTTCGATTAATCACTTGGTTTTTATTTACAATATTTTTAGGCAATGTAATTTTAGTTAATTCAAATCGTGTATTTATTAGATTCTAGAAATAATTTTTAAAAAATATTTTAGTATAACGCATGCCGCGCCATATTGAAAGAAATATTATATATATATATATAAAGTCGTCTGGGGCAGTTTAGTAAATTGAGAAACCTAAATAAAATATAGAGTACATAAGGTAGACCAATCGTACTTCAGTACACGTACTGCCCTTTATTATTTACGCATTGCAGCCAGCGCTTTAAAAAATTCTCAAGAGCTCTTTACTTGTGATTTGTATTACAATGCGTAATTTATATTAAAGACTTGAAGGTGTGCTTCGTTACGCCCTTTAGCTCCTTTTTGAGAAATGAAACCCACCGGAATCACACGTTCCTAACTATAGGGTCGGATACTGACAAGGTGATATATCTATTTGAAAATTAGGCTATCTTTAAGGTACACAAAACGTATATGTTTTGGACTCTATCCGTAAGAAAAGATTTTTGCTTGTTGTTTTCGTTTTCAGTGTTTTCGTCATAATTTTGTAACACGTATTTCAAAAAGTTTTATATTAAGTCGTCAGGTAGCGCACTGTCGACGCTCTGACTTTTTCAAAAGCTTCCGTGATCACCACAGCTCGTCGTTTCGTCTGGAATCCTGAGGTAGAGGCATCTCAAAACTTCTGTAGCCTTCAACTTTCTTAATTACAATAGCTGGACCGGTAACAAAGTGTTGTTTCACTGGAAGTCTTTTTTTGTTTTTACCAATCTTCGATGGAGACTACAGACTGTTGAGAAACAGGTACATAACTACTGGGCATTGATATTCGGTAATAAATTATATTTACAATAATCAAAGACAACGTTATATAAATTTTATGCTATATATCATTATTGTGTGGGATAATCGATCAGCTTAAAGTCGTAAACAGAAAAAGACGTGAAGCAATTATTTGCTAAATTTGACGCATGGTTTAAATGCTATTTAAATCTTTCGACCTGCCAGCAAGCTCTAGACAAATAAATCGCTGCTAACTCGGACGCGAATCGGGCCTAAAAGCTTTAGCTACGATCGATATGCTGCCTGTCTCCAGCCAACGACGTACCATAGGCGACGAAGCTTACGTTCGATCTAACCTGTAGATGCGGCGGTGAAAAGCTAAATTACGCCAAAATAATGTGCGAGTAGTTCCACGTAGTGGCTCAAATTACTGAAGACCAAAATTTTTGTGGGTGTGAATACTTCAGCACTAACTCAATACCCTAGACGTGAAGGTTCATCTTGGGTGAGGCCTTCAGCGCTTAAAACTGAGACCGGTCAGGTTCGTCAATGGGATTCTTGTTTAATTGTATACTATGAAGGATGAGGTCAAGGCGTCTAAAATTTCGCCGACTTCTTTCGTTACAAACGTATGCGCTGATAGTGGTGCTAGGTTGTGGTCCACAAGGCCACAAGGAACTAAGGCATTGGTTTATTTTGCCGAAGTCAAACAGCGGCTAAAGCAATACAAGAGATTTGTGCCGTGTACAGCGAAGCCGCTATAGCTTTAGAAATCGCTGAAAACTTGTTTGCGAAGTTTAAGGATGACGTCGCGGAATAACATTTTGGTTAGTCTGGTGCCGATAAGAACCTATCGAAGACACTTTTAAAAGAAAATGGCCGGCAAACATTTCATGAATTGTGCGGAAAAATTAACTGTAGTCATATAGGTACTCGCAGGCAATTTAAACTCATGAGATTTACTCAAGAAGTTGAAGCTTGGAAGCCCCATGGTCTAGGTGTGCATCGCATAGAAGAGCATTTTCTCACTGCTTCAACGTCTATTCTAGCATTGGTCAAAGACAAGTTTCTACATAAAAATGCTATCGATGAGGAGAAGTGGCATCACCAGGTAGCTACAGAGTAGTGAAAGAAGAATACCCGCAGGAGATACGCCCGACCTGAGAATTCACCTAAATCCGCATCTTTAGAAGACTATGATTTGCGTTGTGTAAAATTGGGAGATGCGTGAGAAGAACAAGATGGTCAATAAGGATTTGCATATGGCCCTATTGCATAAATATTGAGATTGTTGATGCGAGAAGGCCCGATCGACGAAACCTGGCTAGGAGAATTCCTGAACGCCAAACATGAAAATAAAAACAAATAAATAAATTGACAGATGGTGAAAAATCTTAGGGCACGTAAAAAAATAATTTCTTACTAAAATTCGAGTAAATCACGACATTCTTTGTTAGGAGGAACACGGAACTACAAATGTTCCAACCAAATATGTATATGTGCATATATATTTCAAAAATATCAGCGTGGCACACGACATATTCCATGTATTAACGATCGTCCGAGTCACTTTGTTAAATATGTTACACGCTGTGTAACTGGATTGCCTGCGCATCTGGTTCACTACATACGAAAAAAAAAACAAATAATTTTTTTGTAAATCAATCTTATATACACAGTCTTTATTTTTCGTTCAGGTTTGCATTGTTTCATATATATATATATATATATATATATATATGTATATATATATATATATGAATATATTCATAGTTTGTGTATGTATCTGTTTTTGCGTCCGCATGAATTTTCTGTATGTTTTTCCTTCCTTTCACAGATTATCATTCCGGAGCGCTGAACAGTTTGGTGACAATCCACGGATACACACAAGATTTTTGAGCACTTAGTTTTCTTTCCAGTTCAATCAACACCTGTTTTTCTTAGCCATTCTGTTAAGTTAACGCTGGAGGAACGTATCTGCCTTTGTTGTGGCGTTACGGCCGTCATTCGGTTACTACTATCATAAGTAGCGCCCTTCTCAGCTCCATAATCGTGCTAACTGAATAGTTCAAACAAAATGGACATTAACATGGTTTTACGGAATCAAGGGTCAATACTACATATTTTGTTTATCCAGAGTTATGATTTGTAGCCAGCTATTGTGGGCGTTTCCCAATTTTTTGCATTTCAATAGGATGACTGCTAGATTTATGAGTAGGTAAAATGTGCGTAAATCCTCTTTTCCAAAGGGGGGGGGGGTATAAGCAGAGATGTCCCAGTTGTAGTGCCGGAATAATAAAGATATATTTGTATGATATGCATAACAATAATTAGGGTACTGACACCAAAATAGACGCGTTGCTTGACATTGCGGACTGTTTTAGATCCTGTTATGAAAAGAGCCTTAGGTGAGGACTGACCTAGCAAGCCATGCTTATTCGCGACAGCTTTTTAATATCCGCATCGTAATGATTGCTGCTGTTACTTGCTACGCATTTATTTAATATTGTTCCTGGTTGTATTTTGGGTTCCGAATGACTGGGACCAGCCCATCTCGGCTATGTCTGACACTCGTCGCTAGTCGAAGTTGTCTGAAGGCCTCGTTATGTGTTGTGTAATTCGTTTCGCTGCGGCCTGCAATCGTCCAGACATTCACGCGATGCTCACGAGAATGACAGTAATCACTGAGTTGACAATCGTAACATGCATCATACAGAGCTATTTCTAGTACAGGATAAATGAATGTAACTCCAATAGATTAATTTAGTGAAGCTTAAACGTGGAATTGGTATATGAACGCAACAATAAAGAAGGTACGCTAGACTTTCACACTCTCGTCCTTACGAACCGAATTCTGGCTCGATTTTGAGCTAAATTAGCAGGTCGTAAGGCCAAGTTCGAAGAAGTGCCGAGACCTTTTCTAGGCATCACTCTTTTCGGCGATCATATTTTTGACTACCGGTTAGGTGATGCATCAGGAATCATCTGCTTTTCATTGCGCCTATTCAGCTTAACAGACAACCGTATATTTTACATTTACAACCGATCAGCAATGCAATCTGATACAATTCTGAATTTGATTAACATGTACGGATACGTAGAGCTGTTCAGATATTTGCTCTACGTACGAATTAGCCCGTGCAGGCGACTTCATCGGCTTCTCATCGTCTTCTATTAATAAATGAATAACAAGTGGCGGCGAGAGTTCCGCCATAGTCTTTTAGAAAATGGCGAATGTCAACAGAAATACAGCCAACAATGAATTCATACTTGTTGTTGGTGGTGGAGTAGGTAGAGTTTGCAGTGTTTGTCTCAGTAGCTCGTTCAGCCAACAGTAATAGAGATACAGATCTTGAAAGAAATGTTCGTCGTAGAAAAATAAAGCACTGCAAAAGTGCACCATACAGATGACCCAGGGGGGCCATCTATTACGCTTCGATTTTCCCAGTCGACCCAGTATGTCAGTCCCATACGAGTTTCGTCGATTAGTGCAAGACGAAATTTGTTTGTTTACTCGTTCAATTGATACGACAGACCGGCAGTCAATTATAAGTACTGATCTCGTAAGTAGTAGCAGTAGATTTGTGGCTTTACTAGTTCAGTCGATTTGTATCGAGCGTGTTTAAAGCTAGTTTTTGATTATACTTGGCTGTTACTTATTATAACGATTTGTTTATCGGCAGCGGTTACACGTTACCAGCCGAGCCAGTATGGCCACACGTAGGTATCGGTGCCCGGGATGACAGAACGAGGCGGAGCCTGACGCGCCTTCCCCGTTCCAAGCAGACCGTCATTCTCCGCCCTCCGATCCAGACGGGCAGTATGGAACTATGGTCGACAGCCAGCATCGTCACAAAAACGCGATTCGCTGGCCCACTTCTAATGTCACGGTTTTTCGTCGAGTATTTTTAGCCTCCCCGCAGATAGTCGAATCTCCGCTGGCATAGGGCCGTAATTTCCCTTAGTCACGTGTATACGTTAGCTGGCGAACATGGTCAGTCTGGCTGTTAACATCGTAACGTGCTCGAACTTGTCTCCGACAGCAGTGACACGTAAAAATCGTAGCATAATTATTGTTGAGCATTGTTACAATCGTTTGTCATAGAGGGATCCACATGCTATCCCGATAAGGCTTACAGTTACTCTTCGATACATAGGCGCCAAAGTGAATATTTGTGGTCGTAAATGATTTCGTAACGTCGCAGCATCGTGCGTTGTACATTCGAACTGATTGCAAGTTACAGTTGTAGGAAATCGAGTTGCGGATCGATGCCATATTTCGTACAGGCTACTTTTCCCACTCCATAACACAAGGCAGGATAAGGCAACTACGATGGCCGTCACAGGATGTTCAGGCTAAACAAAGATTCCATATATTTACATAGGCAAAATGAACATACACCAAGTTGTCGTCCATGCACCCTAAGCAGGACAGCTGACGTCGACCGAATCTCGCGTCGTTCTTCAACCGCACGTGTCGTTGCTGAAACCCACGAGCAACTATACTCGTCACTCGAGATTATTTCCCATGTCATGGGCGCCGTATCATTGTCTTCAGTGATGCAGGAAGCTTGTATATCTGTCGTCGACAGCAGGACAGTAGACATCGCTGTAGCTCAGCGTTAGTCACACACATACACACACACACACACACACACACACACAGGTGCTCTCCTGACGAGCCGGCTGGCCCGATCGTCAGCGTCCGCCAGCCGGACCAGTTATTTCCACCTCGTGCATTTTCCACTCATTCTTCATACCCCTTTCTCGCCCACACAGACACGCGCTAGTCACTATCGTTCTATTGAAGTTCCATGATCTCTCTACTTATCAACGTTCGTGTCGTGTGATTTCTTCTAGGGCGAGAAATCTGCGCTCCATGTTCAAATCAGACAATAGTTGAATGTACAGCGTCGGAATCATTGGACCATTTTGCATGCACCGCTCGCGACAGAAACCAGTAAACACGCTCTCCAAGACAATGGACGTCGCTGTGCAAGAACCACTGCGCTGTTCCAAGCGTCACTACTTTCTGGCATGAAATTTACCGCTTTCTCGGCCAATCTCTACGTAACCGAATATACTATATAACGAGGCGCGTCGGGAGATCAGTCAAAGGATGGCATTCACAAGTAAGTCGCTGCCACCGCGTTTGTTGGCGTGTGTATCATCGTGAACATACGACGAACAGAAAATCAGCACAATGGACGCTTTTTATTTACGCATATGTACATATGTATTCAACTGATGGAAATTGATCATTTTCAGCTTTTCTCGATAAACTCTTCTCTTCTGACACCACACGCCTGGCGTGCATGTATGGTGCGACGACAATAAACGAATTGTTCGATTGCCAACCCGGCAGCGGCAGCGGCAGCAGCGTGTAACGGTTAAGTTATTACCTTTTCGACGGATTAGTGGCAATATTAATAAGGCCACGTTCGAAAAATAACCTGTAAAAAAAATTTGTCCATCTTTTCAGTGCACCCTCAACGTTGCCCTGATCCCCATCGGCCCTTCACGAGAGAGTTCGGACGAACGTCTTCATTTCGTCGTCACTGTGTTCGCCATAATCATCACAATTTCTCTAGAATATGTCTTTGCCAGCCTTCCAAGAGCGTTCTATCTGTTGTGCTTCAATTTTCACATCAGTCCCTCAGAGCTACTGGTTACGACTAGATACGGGTCCACACCTTTGTCCTGTTACCTATTTTTTCTAGCCACTGTTTTGGCTACGTTAGTCAATCCATACCATTGGACACACAAAATCATTGCACATTACAATTCAATTGTCACTTGGTTAACAGTTTGTTGAATAGTGAAACAGCGGATCATTCAAGTTAGTTACTTAAATAATATCGTGAAGTATTATAGTGGAGAGCCCAGTTCCATGACCAGAGCGAAAAAACACAAGTCAAAGTCAGCTGTCCCACAAAATGCCTTTCAATACGTATGAAATGTTCGTTTTATTGAGTAAAAACATTTTATACGTATTCGATTAGAAATCCAGTAGTATCATATAATACTAAAAAGACAATAGGTTGACTTCAATGATTGAGTTCATTTGAACTTTGAAAACTCTGCATTAGTCGTTTTTGTGGCGTTTATAAGACAAGCTGACTTCGTGTATATGCAATGAAAGACCGTACACAAATGACTAACGCCTACCGGCTTCTATCTCCCGATTCACGTTCCTAGCGAAGAGGATCGAGGCCCATAATCAGAATATACGCAAAGCGCGGCCTAATTCGACTTTAAATAGACGTCTATAAGTGCATGAGTAGTTACTCTGTCTATAGACCTTCAACGCCTATACAACTCAATCCAATTGAATTGACCTTCATTTTCGGTCATCGGTCAAATTTCTACCATGTACCGTAATCTTATTCCTTTACCAAATCACATCAGCTAGCGCTGTCCCTATCAGGCGCACCAACAAAGGGCGATAATTATCTCGTCGAATAACTCGTGTCTTGGCCACGATTGCAATATAACGAGAAATGACTATATGATAATACACCCACTACATGCTTTATGATTCAGCTACGGTACACAAACAGCGCTACCCATTATAGGTGTCCACGAGATCGGCTCTTGTTTGGCCAAATCACCTGAACACCAGCTAGTTAGTACGTATGTGCATATATTTAGCAGCCACAAACTATAACGATGTTCTGGCATTAAACACCTTTTCTACAAAGTACGTCGTCTGCTTTCACTGAAGAGTTCGCGGTTTTTGTTACGTTTCTACTATTTCGAATTTCTGCTTCACGGTACTAACGACAGAGCATGGTACTGGCTTTTCGGCACCGTGTCCCTTCTGCTCAATCAGCCACAAGTCACTAAATCAACAGATCAATAAAAGGCGATTGATTCACTAATTCAATTTAATGTACACGATCATTCCTTTTTCTGATGATGACTCCCCGATCCAGTCGGTTTATTTCTGATGCACTTTTGTCCTTCTGTGGTTTCTTCTAAGTTAGCACATACTCCTCTCACACTTCGACATTCTTCAAATGGAAAGATCAAACGTCATTCCGAACACTTCACTGGTCATGGTAGCAGTAATTGTAGACTAATAATAATAATAATAATGGTAACACGAAATATAGTCTGTTCCGTCTTTTCATTTCAAACTTCACTGCTCACCATTATACCGACCAAAAATTCGTCATTTCAGCATCAATGAATGATCCGCATCATCGGTCAATCCTCAGTCAGCCATTGTCATCAGAACGTAATAAACAGATTTTCATTGTAACCGTTTTTGCGTCCTTATTCTTCATCAGCTTTTTGCTTTTTTTTTTTTATCGATGCTTTATCCGAGATTTGCTATATGCGTATCTTGTGATGTAGTCCGCAATCCGCAGTAATAATATTACTATTATTATTTTTATGATATCGTTTAATATATCAGCATAGTGTATGTATATCCTTATGTGTATATATGTATATAAATATTTTATCTTGCGGGCGTTTGCACACAGCCTTTCCCGGCTCCATGAGTGGCGGGTTTACGATCATTACGTTAATGGCAAGAGGAGTGCGGTTGCTTGTTCCTCACCGACAACGTAACTAATCTTCATGTCTTCACTGCAAAATAACTCTACCGAGTACGCGGCCCGTATTTCAGTATCGATCTAACAATATTTATTTCTTTCAACTCCTCTCAGCTACTCACGTTTCGCCGGTTGCATGAGTCTCTCCACATATGCAGTTACAGACTATCCATCATATGCATGGTATCGTATATATCATTATAGTCAACATTACCATCGTGTCCAGGGTAGTAATCGTATCAGCGGAGTACCTTATATATGTATATAGTGTTTTTTGCCATAATCATGATAACTATATACGTATAAAGTGTATATTTCTGCATTCTACCATTTTCCACTCATCTGCGTATGCTTTCTTCCCGAAGTCGTTTGCTTTGTACATGAGCTATTTACAGGAAAATAACAACAGTAGCGGCCGTTGAAGAAGCAGGACACTGGATCATTCGAGTGAATCTCTTATCTGCTATCTGGTCTTCATTACCGTGTCATTTCAATGTTGATACTGATTCGCGTTCGCGTCGCACAGATGATAGTGATAATAACAATAGTGACCAGATTAATCCCGTATTACCGCCTACCCGCATGGTACGCCTACGTTTTCCTGTTCGGTTATTGATTCCCTAATAAAGTAGCATCGACGTCACTGTTATCTGTAACACTGCTGCTGTATCGGCCCCTACAGTGGGTCGTTTCGAAGGTAATAAAGTCGCTTTCAGCTGGGCGACCCGTGGACGACTCTCTGGTGAAGGCCTGCTGTTGGAAGATTTCGTTGCGACATATAGATCCAATAAAACAAGCAAGCACCATTAAACGCCACTCTCTTCTTAATCATATTATATCAACTGCATTGTGCGCCATAGTTACCGACATCATTGTCAGCACAACGTCGTAATATATGAATATTGTCATTCTCGCCTATAGAGATACTATAGCTATAATAATGATAATAGTAGTTATCATTATAGTCATGAAGACTAACGCGTCATAATGGGCTAGCTAATCAAATCTTCTCTATTGGCAGCGTCGTTTTTCCTTGTATATTCTTTATATCAATATACGATTATGTATATAACATAGAACATGTATGTATATATATATATATATATATATATATATATATGTGTGCTCCTCGAAATATAAATGTCATAACAGCAGGGGTTGATCTATTTCACTTAGCATAGTAGCGTAGAGATACATATCGATACCTGTTTGGATCTTGAGTGTGTAATTAATATGGCTTCTTCTTATTTAGCGTCGGCGGGTAACAAAGCTTATTATCTGTTAGACGTTAGGGCGCGTTCTCTCTGATGTTTTCGGTTATTTAGCAGTACGTCATTCTTTTTTCATCTGACTAATGTTTGTATGTTACTGTCGGGTTAAGAATGGATCATCGTCACGATAATCACATGTCTCATAAGTTCGCCGTTGAAAACTGTCAAATGGCGGAGGAATTAATTTTGATTTTTAGCACTAAAGTAACACATTACTACGACTTATCCTGCGTAACAACAAGCTCCCGTCAGGCCTCGTATATTACTTGCCTGAGTTTGTCAGACAGGCACAAACATACTGTTCGGTCTCATTTTATTATTACTAATTCGTAGTCATCTATACTCGGACGAAAACGAAAAGGGGATCGGCCGCAGTGGTTCTCCATCAGTGAACCTGCTATGAAATCGGTACGTGTCGCGTTATTTAGCGCCGTGTACACTGGCTCCGGTGAGACAATCGGATAACTATGTTATTATCGAGACGGTTACTGGTGGCCCTGTTTCGAAGCGCCGGAGCCATGCACAACACACACAAATTCCCACAACTGTTATCGTTCTGCGTCGGTATTATCATATCACACGCCTGTCTAATATTTTCGTACAATAATAAGCGTCAATAATAATAATAATAGTAATAATAATAAGACTAGAACTACCTGCGGCAACTGACCAGACAAGACCAGAAGGCCCTCACGTATTCACCCGTTGCTGCTCGGCCTACAATTTTTAAACGCACAGTTTTATTGAGCATCAGTTATTTTTCTTTTATCATCCTACACTTTCAAGCATCCAATCGAACTTAAATACTTGTAGATGCCAGCTTCTTTCGCTCATCGAAACTTACCAACTCAACGAGTTACTCTAGCTTCCTGTGCGTCACCATCTTTCTCCTAGCTTCGAACTGATTTTGTAGTTTCATGCAAAAGGTCAACTCCCATACAAACGGCGTAAATAGGTCCAGCAGAGAAGTTGTTACATATCTAGCCAGCAGGAAAAGCGGCCCGTGCATTTAAATACGGTATGTCTGGCTCTAATTTTGGCACCTTGATGGTAAAGATCTGTTTGCCTTGCAACGTCTTTGGGCAGCACCAAGCGCTATCGGGTCAAGACCGGCTTTGCGTCCCCTATCATTTCTCTGCCCTTAATGCACTAAAGCAGATGATCTGCAGGCGCTCCTTATCTGCTTGAATCAAGTATCATTTCAGCCAGCAGTACTTTTTCTCGGCCTGCAGTGAACCTAATAGGGAAACATTACGATAAGCCATGATAAGGATAGTAATGGGTTTTATTAGACGCGACTACCCTCTCGCAGCATTGAACCTCGCAGACCTTCGCTTTTCCTGAAATAAACTTCACTGTATGATACGCCTCCGCTGGCGCTCGTTCCAGTTAGTCCCATGCCATTAGCTAGACCTAGGGCTGGAGGCACGATGTCGGCACCTACTGAAGCACCGCCGGGTTCGTGAGAATTGGATGGTGACGGGGGCTCGTCATTTGTTTGCGACAAATTCAGCGACGCATAGTTAAGTTCGCGATCACTTCCGGGCATGACCTGCATTGGTACTCTTGTTGACGGTACGGTTATAGGTGAGGGGGGCGACACAGGCTGTCCGAAGAGATCTGCAGTCCAGTGTGTATTGGTGCTCCGATCGACGACGCCGTGTTTTCGGGTGTAGGCGAAGGCGCCGGAGTTGGGGGTGGTAGTTTGGCGCTCGGCTGATCCGTCTCCATCGGCTCCTGGCTGTCTTGCGAACTTGACACAGCCTCTACAGTAGCTCCGTTGGCGCCGAACATTAGATTTTCGTAGTTGTGCTGTGTTGTCGTAAGCGCTCCGCTAAGGGAAGGCACCGCGACGACCGGGGGTGGGGGTGGTCCTGCTTGTCCCGGTGGGGGTGAAGATTTCGTAGCTGCTGTCATGTTTACATCAAAAGACATCGTCGTAATCAGCTCGGACTTACATTTCTTGGGCTCGGGCGCTCCGCATAAACTGAAGCTGCGTACCTGCCAGGGCCGACTCATGTCGAGAGAGACGTATTCGCCCTCCGTGTCCGAAGGCGTGGCTCGATGCGTATGGATGTGCTGCTGCTGCTGCTGCTGCTGCGACGTATGGGATGAGGAAGCTGCTATTGCCTTGAGGCTCAATGGCGAAATGGACTGTTCACTGAGGTCCATGTAGTCGGAGTGGCCAGTTTTCCCACTACGTGTTATCGAATTGTTGCCGGTTATACTTTCTCTGGTGCGAACGGGCCCAAATTCGTGTTTCTCCTGGAAGCTTGATGCTTCCTTAAGTGACGACGACACCTCTACTTCTTTGAGAGGAAATAGTTTCATCGAAGACTCCGGCTCCTACCATGCAAATTATAACACAATACGGTTGAGTTATTTTGATAACGACTAAATCTCTCATTGTAAGGTCATCAAGAAATGTGGTAGTAATACTTGAGCCGCACACACTGCGGGACAGTTTAGTTTGAAGCTACGTAGTAAATATCCGTGATGTGTTTATGTATTGAATAATCAGCTGTCATTACAATGTCTAGCTTACATTGCTGTTCGTTAAGAACATCATTGGAGATTATCAAATACCTGTTTACTACATCCGTTAAATAGTTGATCATTAACCTTTGAAGCAAAGCGGCTTGTGGGACTTCGCTATTGCGCTTCACCTGCTAAAACTAACCTTGTAGTTAGGCACCCTTATCATGGGCAGGTATTCGCTGCTCTCCTTATTGTTATTGTTGCTGCTCGATCCGTTGCTGTTTATGTTAGTAGCAGACACCGGCGGCAAACTGGATGTCGCCTGCAGAGATGGGACCATAGCGGCCATTGCTGCGGAGGCGGATGCCGTGGCTCGATGCCAATTTTCGTCATAGTTGATTTCCATGAACTCTTCTGAATGGCGTGATCCTAACGTTGTCGTTGAGGAAGATTTTTTCGAATAGCTGTTCGAACGGCCTCGATCTGCAAGACCAACATGAAACCCAAGATTCGTTAGTGAACAACACGGAACTATAAGATTAACATTATTATAAGCCAATCGGTTCAAGGGCTACAGCGGCAACGATCGTTAATGCTAGACCGGAATCATGCCTGTAACATCTAGCATTTTCCAAAAAAGCTGCTATCCTCATGCATATGGAAATGCTCCAACGCAACTCATTATTGACTTACCTGAAGTGGGCGTGCCGAGGACGTCCTGCTGTTGATTTTGCTGCGTCCTTTTTTTAGCGGCTGCCGCAAGCGTTGCTGCATGATTAGCCTGTGATCCAACACTGTAGGCTCGGACGCGCCCAGAACCCTGTCCGGCTGCGAGGCCAGACCGACTTGAATTGCGTTGCTCCGAAGGACGTTTGCCGCAGGAAAATGAACGTCCCGTTCGCAGGCTCTGATCGTCTCCATCGCCAGCCGCGATAAAGCTTTTGACCTTGTCAAGTTGAAAACCTTCAACACTGAGGTCGAACGTGGGCGATGCATCATGTATCGAGTGAATCGAAGAGCCCCAGGAGCCACTCAAAGCTCCGACTAAAATTCCATATAGGCGGGAAGCTAGGTTAAAAATAAGCTCCGACGTTGATACCATATAAGATTCTATGAGCCAACGCTCCATCAATCAGTAACGGAGTTTGCAGTAAATTAAAAGTAGTAAATGCTATTCAACTAATTAACAGATCGGCCATTTTAGTGGTAGCTTCAATACTAGTGGGTCATTTACCTGATTTAGGAAGCGAGGATGAAAGGGGAGCCATCTCCATATAACCAGGCGGTGACATGGGTGAACTCTCCGAGACGCCGCGAGTTCCACTGCGAAGTCCAGGCGCTCCGAGCGGTGGTATGGACCCACTTATTACCATCGTAGACGACAAACTGGATGGTGGCTCCATAGGTACATAGCCATTTGCTAGGGTTCCTAAACAAAATCAACCAGGCAAATTAGAGCACCATACTTTATATTAGAGCACCATATATATGTATATATCTTTTTTTTATTAACCACATTTTGAGAATAGCTATTGAGAATAAGCGCTGCATACATAATTATTGTGGCAATCTCTAGTCTGTTGTTGGGGTCGACAAAAGAAGAGTCTGAAGAATAACATACCATTGTTTAAAAGGTTTTTACTGGCAATAGCCTGGCATAAGCCGATCGGACTCATTGACATATACGCGTCGGTATCCACTGCTGTTGACGGAAGCGCCTTGCCCATCATCACATCTTGCACGTTATTATTATTATTATTATTATTATTATTATTGTTATTGCTGATGCTCATAACGATGCTCGAATTGTTGTTTCCACCGTTGGCTCCGTTATTGTTCAAATTCGCGCTGCTGCTGCTGCTGCCGCCGGACGGCAGCAACTGATCGTGGCTGGGCGACATCCTCATGTATTCGCTACTGGACGATGCCGAACTTGGTTGACGTGGAAGAAACTGCGATCCGCCACCACTGTGAGGACCCGGTAACGGATGGATGCCACCATGCCCGCTGCTCAACGATGAGGTGCCACCGTCTGTTAGTGTTACGGGAGATCCGAGCAGGCTACCTGTTGAGTCGAGTTGGCCAGGCGAGGTCATCGGCAGGTACTCGGACATCCCGTCGCCTCCAGTTTCTTCGACAATCGACTGTGGCTGAGAATGGGGGTTGTGTGAATTCGTACTATTACTGACATTCAAATGCAGATGGGTGTGGGTAGCTGTGGTAGCCCCATGGGAGTGGGGCTCTTCGCTACAGCTTTCTAACAATGCATGGCCATGCAGATGTCCCAGAGGTGAGACACCACCACCTGCGCCGGCGGACCAAGGCCGCCCTCCAACCTGAGTGCAATCAATTGTGTTGCACCTAGTGGGCACGGCAGGCTGCTGATCAAAAAAGGATTCGGAGCTTTGTCGCGGACGCGCCGGCATTGAATCACATCGCTCCCTTGGTATACCAAACAAGGCGCCTAAGCCGATTCCGCCTCCACCCAATGACGGCGGATGTGGATAAAAATATCCATTCTGATGGACATTATGAGGTGAGTGGCCGTGAGGAATCGTCGGAATCGTCAACGGCTTAGTCTCCGAGGTAGAGTTAGATCGCGGTCGAAGAGACTCCTCGTTTACTTTCGACGACTTCATAGCGCTGTAAGTAGAAATACGCGTAGGTACAGGAGAGATACAACAAGTACACAAAAGACGACAACAGCGATACATCATAAGACTTTAACCAATACTATGCGTTTGAAGAAAGGGGGATCAGTAAATGGAAGAAGTGACGCAGGCGAACCAGTGGAACAAATCGAGCCGTTTGTCAATGCCATATAGAGACTGGAGAGTTTTGTAGAATACGGGTAAGCCCAGATCGACGCTTTGATAAAATAGAATAGAAGTGTCTATAACGTTTACAGTAATAATGCGTTACGTCTATATGCTCATACAGCGTATAGGACGCCTATGCTCTGCTGCAATTTTCTCTAAAAGCTGAAATTACAGCAAGAGTCTATGGCAGAGAGAGATCGGCAGCCCCTTACCTTAAAATGACCTCGTGCATATTCTGAGCGATGACGGTGTCATCCGTCTGCATCCATAGCTCGCCCGCCCCTGTCACCGAGCTACGCCCAAGTTCCATAAAGAAAAAACAATCGGTGTGTCCGCAACGGCGGATTGAATTCAGGGTGAACTCGACGGTCGGCTGGCACTCTCGATCCCCACCGCGGCCTCCGCCTAGGCCCCTGTGATCGGCATTGTTACTTGCTGTCCGGTGCCTCTCAAGCCGTATAAGACTTAACGATCGTGAAGTTAGACACACACGATGGTCACCCTGAAGATTTTGCTGAGTTCCAAGACTCTTTGGTTTGACACAGACCTCCCATATGTGATCTGTATATGGAAAAGGACAGACGAACGCACGTGCATTACAAAACGTCAAAGAACGATGTAAGCCAACACAAAGCGGGAACCTATCGTAAGTAAGGATACAGCGGAGCCTTGTAACTGAACATTTCGCTATTAATTTTTATTATGAACGGATTTTTATTAGAAAAAGATAGCCTAGACCGATTATCTAGAGGAATCTTTCTAGCATTCTAGCTTTTTTTTGAAGGTTGAAACCGCTCGGATATAGATACAATACGTTACGTTAACACGGCTAGTAGGATTCGTGTACTACATTAACTAATTTTTTTAAAGAGACAAAATCAACTGACCGAAATGGGGGGACGGTCTTTGATCCGATGGCAAAATCCCCTGCTGCAATTGCAGCATTGTTGACAGCCACTCTTCGTGTTCTTCGACAGTGGCGCACTGTAACAGAAGACAGTCAGCCGAGGTATACAGCGCCACCAGCAGGCGTCCTTTAGCATCTTGCTTTCGGTTGATATTGAAACAGCTTCGCAACGCAATCGACCTGAGAGTGATATACGTGACGTAGCTCGTTAGACGTACAATACAACACGCGTTATGACACATCTAAATAACCGTTCCAAGTAGGACTCGTACTGTACTAACAATAACTACACTAGCGCCGATGTGTTGATAAATATATTCACGCAGATGTGTGTCGTTTCCTAAAAATTTTCTGTAGGGAGGAAAAGTGATTTAAGCGTCCGAGTCAGAAGCAATACTAGCGCGATGGACCGGGCCATCTTGTTCCGACAATGAGCGTTACTTAATTTTTTGTTCATTCACGGCCGCCACTTAGACAGTGAGTAACGTACTATTAGTTATGACTATTGGCCTATCGCTGATGAATACTATGCTTCAGATTACAATTTGTTTCTGGAGGCCTCGTGTCTCTTTTATGCGAGTGTGACCCTATTGTGACGCTACCTGTCGTAGCAGCGTATGGTACTGCAATTGTGTGACGGATGACGATCTGTCGTCACACAAGTGCAGATCGAGACAGACATGCCTAAAGAGCCTACATCAATCCTGCCAAAAGCTCTTTATCTAAGAGATAGCCTTAGATGAACAGGGGAGGCGGTGTGCAGGTAAGCAGTGACAAAAGTCGCGGCGACAGGGAACAGGGTTGGCACTAATTGTACTTGTCGTAGTAATAGTTAGTTATGTTTCCCGTGATTTCTTGCACTCTCGACTTCGTTTATGCTGCATAGATAAAGCGCACACACACACACACACACACACACACACATACACACACACACTTTTGTGAATCACGAGTGCTGGTGGTGCCGATGCCAGTATCCCTGACTGATGATCAATGCAACACTATCGTGTACGCACGAAACAAGGCCGCGAATACCAAAGGCAGCCATAACAACAAAAGGTAATAGCATGACCTTGCCTCTTGCACTACTAGTCTGATGATCTATTTGATGAGCTGATACAGCCTTGAATCAACTACTCAGTCAGTGTTTTTAGTTGTTGGGTAGTCGACGTTTAGGTTTGATAAACTCACGTGACGCTTTATCTTAGACTATTCAAGACAGTGATTTTGACACGGCGATCGATATTTACGCATTACGGTAGCAATAGCTTTTTTTATAACCAATGCAGCATACGTAGGCCGTTTCATTCAACCCGTCACCCCTATCCTATTCTACACTGAAAGCTTTACTAGGCACAACAAAAAAGTGAATGAATGCAGGGTTCGTGGGTAAGACCGGTTTTCATCGTTTTGGGAAGGACAAGGCGAACATGTTTGATAACGCGTAACGCAAAATCGGTAAATTAATAGCAGGGGCTCGATTTTATGAATTGCAGCAAATGGGCTACATCAGACATCTGAATTTATGATTGACTGCTGATGCCAAAAGACATCTTTCAGGAAAAAAAAAAGGAAAAAACGAAAAACATAGCATAATATATATATATATATATATACATATATCATAGCACTAAAAATATCTTTATATAAAAAGAGATTTAAAAAAGCATAACAAAAAAAAAATGCATAAATGCTGCGCCGACCCGCAAAAGTTATTCCTCAAAATTGTTTATTAGAGGAAACGGCCCAAAGAGGACTCTCTCTGCCGCTCTTATTCTAGGAAGTTGCATGTGCCAGATGTTGCTCGATGAAAAGGGGTTATTGATGAAAATATTCCGCCAGTCGAGCAGGTTCGATACGTGAGTAGCCCTAATATAGCCAACGAATCCAACATCCATCACCGTACAACTTGAAACCATTTAAAGAAAATCAATAAATACTTTTGGATTGATGCAGAAGAATTTATTCTAACCGTATCCTCACCTAAAAATATTATAGAAATACAAAATCCAGCCATTTCTAATACAGGTAGTTAAAAGTAAATCACAGAAAACGGTAATCAACTGTAAATGCAGAGGTGTGCTCCACAACCTGTACCATAGTCCAGACTGACGCTAGTGAAGGCGATGCTACGTTTTTAAAAGGACTGGATTGTAGTTGGCCACTATTGGCTGCTATCAATTGGCTGCAATCAAACCCCCCTATCCCATCATCATCAAAAACTAATAAAATAACAGCGGTTCATTCAGCGAAAAAAAACTTGGTCAGAAGAAAATTTTAGTGCATCATCAGCGTACTACTTGTTGCCAGCTATCCAGAATTGCCTGGTTGGTGTTAATACAGTTTCAGTGGAGGATACAAAAAAATAACGTTGTAGCATTATGAAAAAGAAAAAAAAATTGTAATATTATTTAGAACATAAAAAATATATGCTTCATTACAAACATTAGTAGTGTTTACTTGTATAAACTATTGTGATATATTTTGTCACAGTTAATCTTTGTCGTTTCGACTTTTATCACCGGTCTGATTATTTTTGCGTCTGGTTCTCCGCTTCGCGTAAAGTTCTAATCGATGCCTGCGACTTGGATGATGAGGATACTTAATAGTCCATTTACCGATTTTTCTCGTAAAAACGAGTGTTACCAATCGTCCTCACCCGTAAACCTTCAGAATCTGTAATTGCTAGCAGAGATTTTGTAAATCAATTGTGGAGAATTTTTTTTTTTGAAAAAAACGATTTTCTCGAATTACTGTTTAGAACATATGGAGTAATATGCATATTTATTTTAAAAAGCGTAAAAAGATGGGTGCTAGTAATATTCTGAGCGATCCAATGAAGCATACCTTCGTCGCAAGGCATGCTTCAGTCATGAAATAGTTTCTAATTACTTAAAAGCTGTTTTACTGTTCTCAAAAGCCGTTATAAATGCGCCGCTTTCTCAACGACTAAAGGAAGTAAAAGTTCCGAATCAATTACACAGTTTATTTTCGGATGTAACTTTCCTTTTCATCAACGCATAGCGTATACAAACTAGTAATGTGCGAAACGCAGTTCATCCTATGCGTTCAGCTATGCTGCCGGTCGTTTCCGTACCTTGTCTACTACCTCTATTCGCCTATAACAGCGCGAACCTCGTTGGCTCACAACAAGGGCGCAAGTCTATCAGGGCACTTCGTACGCCATCTTAACTTAGCGCACTCCGCTAAGTCTAGAACGTTCAGGCGTGGGCGTTCGTTTGGATTAAACCTGATGTAATTAGCTTCCCCGGGACATGCGCGAGGCATTGCTAAGTCGGCAAAAATACCTATGATGCAATGGCTTTGACCATACTGCAAGAGGAGTGAACTTTGAAAACCGATACGATAAGCTCATACATTGCTGGTCGTTGCATTACGCTGCTGCACTGTTTGTACAGCCCGGGTTCTCAATTCTAGGCACCAACAGCGCGAGCGATTGGAAAACACTTGGTAAAACTAGTTTAGGAACAAGACTAACATCTAATGCCGTACCTAGTCAGGCAGATATCCTAAACCCGCGTATCGAAGGGGTTGAGTACGCGCCAACAATAACATGAACATATCGTTCGAATGTAATGATAGGCAGCGGCCTCCGTATTTGATCTAATTTTTTATTTTGTCGCAAACGCGCGTTTATTGCCAAGAATAATGCTCTCGAAGAACTATCTTTGGTCGAAGGAGGCGGCCGGTTTTGACAAAAATGCCCACTTGGCTACCATGGTGGGCCGGGATGGCCGATCGTCTGGGGAAGCATTCATGGAAACAGCGATGTCAGTATATAGCATGTATTGCTCTACTTAGAACAACATTACCGTGCAGTGAGACAATGAGAAGACGATAATTACATCTACCGCTACCACACTAATTGCACCTAAAACATTGCCTGTCTAAATGTTGAGCTTCAGCTAGACTCACCTGTAATGCTGCCGAATCTGAAAGAAGGCCTTTGTTTACGTGTCTGCCTATAGGCTATATTGAAACTATTCATAGTTCCTTATGATCACTCGCGACACGACGCAGACGCCCGCTATTTCTGCGTTTCAGATACTGCGAGAGATGGACCAGTGAAAAAATACAGGAAAAGTAATCGGTTGAAAGTTTTTTGCGAAAACGGCCTTCTCCTGATCTAGTCGCTTCCTTCACTTTTACCGCCGCTGAAGTGCGCTCCGCCGTCGGTTAGCCACTTAACACAAACAGTCAGTATTATCGGGCTAAATGCTTTGTGGGCCACAAGACGTTTCGGTGGTTCACATACATACATATATGTGGAAAGACTTCTCTAAGTCTGCGAGTTACCGACAATGGTTCGGTAACGACGACACTGACGACTTCAATGTCGGCGGTAGCAACGGCGATGCCGGCCGCAGAAGGTAGGACCAAACGCTGTCTGTTGGCCATGGCAATTTGCATATATTTAGTCTACAACACATTGGCAGCTCGCTCTGGCAGAGTCGCGTTAACCCGACAACAAGGTCAGAAAGCAATGAAAGAACAATGCGGAACTAGCTAGCATCATTACCCATAGCCGCCGCCCCCGGGTGCAATTCCCGTAACGGTTACTTTTCGAGAAAGATAGATGTTTGCCGACAATTGAAAAGAGGCACCTCACACACACACACACACACATATAGCGTGAAGCGAAAGTCTCTTAACAGTATGGGAAAAGTTGCTTGATACTTATTCAGTTAAGTTTTTTCTTGCATTGTAGCCTTCCAAGCTTTCACGTTTGCCCTAACCACATAAATGCCACATGTATTAATGTTAGACGTATATAGCAGCAGCAGCGGCAGTGATACCAGACAGGTGGCGGATGTATGTCTTCTATGGAATCTCTGCTGTACCAAAAAAATATGCGGAACTCTTATAGGTTTATCAGACCTAGTCTAAGGTTGCCTGCTCACAGATCTGCAGTCGTGTGTACCAATAAAAACCCTACCGAAATAGAAAAAGCTAATCTTCAACTGACTAAACAATCACACAGTGCTGATGATCCTGTAACCGATAAAGTCGTACCATTGTTAATGTTAATTACTTTTTTTAGTCTCGCATTTTACGACAAAGCTTGAGCTTGAGGAACTGAACATTCCATTGGCGTTTCATTGCTTTTGCAGAATTCTAATTGGTCGAACTCAGAAGCGTCGTTGCGGTGATAGCATTGAATTGTAGAAATTACGCGGTTGTAGGATACGATATGACGATTATTGTGTAGTATTCGTGGAAAAAATTCACCTATCATTCGTTCGATTGTTACGGAGCAGACGTAAATCGCTGACTGATGGACGATATGAACGGATTCCTGTTCCTAGATGTGCTCGCTTATCTCCAGACCTATAGATACACACATGAAGTGGCAACTCGGCGATGTCGGATCTATGCGCGGAAATCTGCCGTTTAAACATGGTTCTGGCACACAAATACGCTCCTTTTTTTGTAGTACAACAATATGCTGACTCGACGCCATACGACAGGATGCGAAACGCACGGCTCTAAACTCGTTAAATCTGTGATTCTCATCTATTTTGTCTATCTCATTGATCGACATGTTACGCAAACGCATCCAGATAATGAAATTTTGGGTGTTCTATTATAAAGAACAACTAAAAGCTACAGGCGAACAAAATCGTAAACGGATCATCTAACGTTACGTTACGTTAAATAGAAATCTTGAATTTTTTCTTTTTTAGGTCTTCGTCCGATACTGGCTATAGCAAACACCACTTCAGAAAACTGGCCCCTTCCAGCATAAAATAAAGTGTGGCTACGCCATTCTATATTCTACGTTTCAGAACGCTGCGTATAGCTTACTCGCCCCGGATAGGTTTGTCTTCATGCGGTACACGAACACAACTATACGTCTGTGAATAAAAAAAACGTAGACATACATACAGCTGTTTCAATATGTGTCAATGAAAACACGTAATTGGTTGGCAATGGCAACGAAGGTAATTGTCCGTGATCTCTTACCATGGCCTTCTCGAGAGAATCACGAACGCTTCTAACTTTGTCGTTTTTCTTAGGAGTCAATAGGCTGGCTTTTATTTAATCCACTAAAAATGAACATGACCGTAAAGCCAATTAGAATAAGCAACAAATAACGCCGTCCCGTCATCAACAGGTCGTTAAATATTGGTTTGTGATCGTTATTACGATATAGAAGTTTTTTTACATTTTACAAATCGACGAACAGGTCGGCCAAATGACCATCACCGCTCCGCGCTACAACAACAAACTAATAAACAGCCGCTGTCTTCGTGGATGTCTATGACTCAACGAAATCATAGGTATCTGGTAGAGATTGTTGATGTAAAACGTACACAACAGTACGAAATTGTTCCTGGCAAGAAACTACCACTTTTTCACAAGAACATATCCATATGCCTTGTAGCAGCCAAGGTACCCATGACAATGCTGCACTCACACTAACACCAGGGAACCGGACATGTAGCGCAAGTAATAGTATGACAAGGCCACTGATTATTTCGACAACGTATAGAATAGGAAGGGTGCGTATCGGGTAAACTACTCGTCGACGCTAATTTGCGAAAGTGGCCCCTATTTTCAAATTATCGTCACCATAAGCTGTTGCGCGTCCATCCGTTTTTTATCATCAAACACAGCCATCTATGGCATATATATGTGTGTCTGTGTGTGTGGGGTGTAAGTGGCACTTCACTCATAAGAAGGGTCGATGTTTTTCTTCAATGTCTGACAGCCAATTCATCCCGTGGGTCTCTCCAAAAAAACTTCTATCATCATCTTCAGTCAGTCAATACTTGATAATCAGTGCACGGGCGTTAGCTGACCCTGCAGAGTCATGCAATTCTTACCAGCTCTCAACTAGCAAAACGGTTTGGCACTGACGCTTATTGCCCCCGGCTACGCAACCTCTATCGAGTCTCACGGCTTTCTAGTTTCAGCTGTTTTTGGGTTCATGTTTCCTTGACCCGCTTCAGAACGCGAGAAGTCTACTGACGAGGATTTTCCTCGTAGAGAAAAAAAAAAACATTTTCAATTTCAGCCGCAGCCGCAGCAGCAGAAGTCATCACAGAAACTCAAGCGGTAACTGGCATGCTGCTCCCAGTAACAATGGGAACGCCTAGCCAGTAAAAAAGGACCTAATCTATTTTCGTTCGTCGCCAAGAATCAATTTTCCATTGATTGCTGCAGTAGCTCTTCCGTTCAGGAAGTTACGATATCTCTGTTATTTTCGTCACAGGGGACAAATGGCCAAGGACAGAATCTCTACTTCGCACCCGTGGCCACAATGAACATCAAGCGGTGAGCCAGTGCGCCTGTGAATGACTTCGGCTTTACGGTCAGGTCGAGTTGACTTCATCGTGCAAACGGAATACTGCCAGACATTTCCACCGTACAAAAGAGATAAGTACCGTCGATTTCTAGTAACAACTCTATTCTAAAGTGCGGTGCCGTTGTTGGGTCTGGTGTATATTATAGAGGTTTCGACAAGTCGGAATATGTTTTAGCACTGAAATACGTATATTAGTTTAACATTGTGTGTAATTTACAAATAACATAATAAGTAACACAAATAGCGCTTCGTTTATCGGATAATCGCGTCTGTAAGTGTCTGTTGCGCGTTCATATATTTTTCTATGCATACGCATCTTCGTTAAGCGTTACAGAACGACTAGAGAGAACGTGCCGAAGAATGTATGCATTGAATTTATATTAGAACGGAAGCTAAATATCGATAGGGGGTTACACAACGCCGAAGCACACTGTTCGATTGAAGCGCAAAAATTAATTCTCAAACATAAGTTTTGGCCAAAAATCTAAATTAAACTCATATTTGCTCGCTATATCATCTCATATGCCCAGTACTTGTGCTACAGTTAATGGCTAAAAATCTGTACGGTACCTTTAACTTAGGTAACTTACGCGTACTTCATAAATCCAGTCTGAAGTGTAATCCTTTCACGTATACATCTGCTATACTAACTCAAGCGATGTGGAAGCGACAAATCTATTTGTATATGACTTTTTTTTTAAATACAATTGCTGCTGCTGCTATTGTTATAAAATATATGTATTAACATAACGTCCCGTAATTAAACTACCTTTGAGATGGTTTAGGACAGGAACGACAAAAGCAAGAACGCCGGAAAAAACATGATGATAAACTTTGCTTCAAGGTATTACATTTTAGGAAGAATCGTTCACTTATTGACGAAGCAAATCATATGCCGCAGCTCAAATAGAGCTCAAGCTTGCTAGAAATAGATGAATAGATCTATGTAGGGACGGGGTGCGCGTAATCTGCATTCGTTGATCTGTACGGATGGACACCATATGCGCGGACTTCGCTGGATATTTCTTCGCCAGTTATACCTTATTTTTTCCCTTTCAACCCATAGATTTCTATCAGTATTCATATTTTTTAACTTCGCCAGCAGTAGAAGCCATGTGTTAAGGGTTCGACATTGAAAAATCTGACAAATGACAGCTTTAATGTCGCGGAAAACACGGTAGGTTCACTGCAAACCTCTTCGCTCCTGCACCAAGCGCAAATAGTCGCCGCCTGTGAAATCATCGGACTTCAGCGTGATCGACTTCGTTCCATATATTTACATGCAGCATTGAACGTAACTCGAAAGAAAATAGTTACATAAATAAAAGCACGGAACCTAGCCCAAGCCTCTATCACGACCTCATTCAGCCGTCGGCTTGCCTATAGAAATAAACGTTTCGGGTCTTACATCTATCGCCTTATTTAAACACTGCCCTGGACGACTGACTCTTTTTAGCAGAACAATAAGTACACATTTCAGGTGTTTTGAAGTTTTGTTAGGCAAACGTGTTACTGGTACATTTTTGCTGAGATATGCTTGTGCGGCTCCAGTATCACGACGATAGAGGGGTGTCAACCGTTTAGATACGCACATATCGGCTAAGCATGTAGAGCGTACGTGAGCATGTGCATACAAGGTTTGTAGTATTCATTAGATATAACGTTGGACGAACGAACACGCCCTACACAGATTACGCATATCGGTTATTGAGTAGAACGAAAAAGGTCGGCTAACCAGGCTTTGTCTCACGTAGAAGGAATACAATTTCGTATATTTTTCAGAACTAGTTACCAGATGTAGGTCTAATTATGTGTAGAAACAGATAGAAGAAGACAGATAAAGTTGGGTCGGAGAATATCTTATCCTAACCTTTTAGGATCAGCTCCAGCACGCCACTTTTTTTCGGTATCAAAGTATTCAAGCCGTGCTTGCTGGGCAAGTTGATGGTAGGCGGCACCGCTGCTATTGCTGGAAGTGGCGTCTGTCGGAGGACGTCCGGCAGAAACTCCTGCATGGAGCACGAAAAATTTGCGCTTGCCTGTTTTGAGCTTTTTTAGATAGCCGCTTAGCACGACATCTTCGCAGCCTTGGGGGGAGCCGAACGTCGACGGCGAACCCCCGTGAGGTTGATGCGAATCACTCTCGGGGGACACCGGTCCCCGTCCGCCACTACCTCCACCACGAAACGACATTCTCCGCATCTGAAATGAACAATGGATAATGACATGAAACAGTTAGTTGCTAGTCGTGATCCGACGTATTTGCGCAAAAAATTTTTCTCTCTATTCGATACTACGAATCCTAACCATCATTACAGTTGTTGTTATTATTATTATTATTACAGTTATTATATTGTGTTTAGTTAACAACGCAGCTAGATGTGGTCTGTTAGTTCTACTGCGGCAGTTGTGGCCGTAGAACTATTTTACATAGTGTTACTTAGGTGGTATTTTTCTTACTGAGAAAAACATTGTAAAACGAAAATCCTCCGAAAATATTCTTAGCCGTTTTCGTGCTCGAAGATCTGTGACTCTGTTTACGTGCGTAGATGTACTGTATGTTCGTGTCGTGCACATGTACCAGACTGTGTTAAGCAATTTGCATACGTTGGTGACAACTTCGCTGTTACTAACCAGTTAAATTCTAGTGATACCCACGTTACAAGCACTATCGGTAAACTTTTTATTAGAAAGACCCACGCCTGACGGCACGTTCCTTAACATTGGCATTGGGGAACTTCCGTCAGCCGTTGCTATTGTTGTATAATAATACCGCAGGTTAGTAGATGAATGGGTAGATATCGAGTTAATGCGGACTATGAGAAGGAATGGCAGCGGCGACGACAACAGATCATCTATATTTCACTATTGCACCACTGACAGAATTGCCGCAAGCCAAAAGGTAGCCTGAGCAAATAATTTGGGCCAGCGTTTGTTTTTGTCATAGCTCATCGAAACCTTCAGATCCGCTTTACAGTATGCTATTTTACGATCTAAAAAAAACTATCTATATCAATCGGCCGGGCTTTCTTGTCGTATCTGCATTCACTTTGATAGACGAATTCGTTCTATGTATTTGAAAATCGGCTTAGATCTGCTTCTCATCCCCATGTTGCTCCACTGTTGTTGATACCGTCCGGTACGGAAGTTAGCATCGCGCGCGAACCTGGCGTACAGCCGCTGCACTAACAACACAACATCCAAGTGCCTACTCCAATGAAATATACATAAAACAGCAAACGCACAGCTGAAAACCTCCATACTAGCTCTGGACCGGTAGCAATCAATTAGACATTACAGGAGGAATGGCTTGGCATACGAACGACGCTGGTGCTTCCAAACGCCCAAGGATGCATCTCCCCCACGTCTCTATCCATCGCGTAGGATTAGCTTCAGCTTCGCCTCCATGCTCTCGTCTGCCAAACAAAGCTACTATGAGTAATACTGGTAACGGTGAAGATACAACAAAGAAAGTTAGCACAAATCAACAACTAACTGTTGCGCTGGCCAACGAACCGGACAGCTCAACGAGTAACGCCTCGAAAGGCGAAGGCAACAATAGACGAAGACCCAGTTAGGCCAGTCATCCAAGCCATCGAGTCCCGCACCGTGGGACGCACACACAGCGCGAAAACAAAACGCGCGAGGAAAGCGATCAAACAATAACAGCAGTATAGAAAGAATGAGCTTGTCGCTTTTTCTATTGTTCATGACGGCCCTCTGTCGTCGCGACAAATCATGTCAGATTGTCGCCAGCAGCTTCCGAGGAATTATGGCTGCGAAAAACGCTGCGGCCCCATCAGCTAGCGGAGAGGGAGCAAGTGAAAATAGACAATCCCTATTTCTAATAGACACACAGAGAAGAAAAGATAAATGTACAGACAGACAGACAGAAGAGGCATCGTTAAAAACAGCCCCCTGCTACTTACAGTCCACAGCAACGGTGGCCGGAAAGAGGGCTGTCGATACCAGTAGAAAAACCCAAAGAAAGACTATTATGCTGCACGTCTAAAGGATGGGTTCGAAAATCGTTGTGAGTCACTATTGCAGAAGAGGAACACTTCCACGTGTCAATGATGTCAACAAAAGGAAAAATCTTACACGCAGCTGCGGTATATCGATATTTACGTCTAAATAAAAAGGGTTGTGCGCACTTGGGTCCCTTTACGTGAGAATATATACGATTAATTTTGATTTTTTTTTTTGAGGAAAATCACAGTGTAGAGCAAGAGCATCCATTGGATTCATGAAATGCGTCTTATTAAGGTAACTTATGAAGCTTGATGGCTGCTACATCTAAAGCGTCATGCGAACACGATGCAGTGCTATCACAATTAGTAAAGCAATAATCCCCAGCTAATTTTATGACATCGGTACATCCGAACACACGAGTGAATCAGGACGAAACAAGACAGCATCAGGCTGTAGCTCCCCATGTTCGATTAACCCGGGCGTACCGGCTAGTAGTAGGGCGGCAACGCTAGCAATAGCTATCTGAATTTAAAGGCAAAATAAAGAATTCGTACAAAAAAAATCAATTAATTGTTTCCAGGAAAACTTTCGTCGTGGACCCGTCCATCGCCACCACCACCACCCCCATTCTCATCAAAGAACACCATAGAACCCCCACGTTGAAAGACGCTAAGGGTAGAGCGGATGATTTCATCGATCAGTCAAGCAAAATTGTCCCCATTGCGTACATTATGTGAAAACAATTGATATGCCTTCCGGTTTTACTTCATCGCTAAATAGTTGCCTAGAAAAATAGTTGATTGGCACCCTACAGCAGCTCTTTCTTTTCCTATCTTTCCAGCCAGTTATGCTATATGTTTACATTGACGCTTGCTCATTGAAGCTGAAGGCTGAAACCCCTTCGCAGTAATGTTTGCATTAAGTACTTGTTCGCAATATAACGGGTTAAAGAAAAAGAATTGCTCTTGCATCAAACAAACGAAAGCCCATACATATTTATGTTTCGTGGAAATATCATCACCATTGATAGCGATGCTATTGTTCTTACAAGACAAATTGATTTATCACAACGAGGCTTATTTTTGACCTACGTAAAAATAGTCACTGAAGTTCATTCACTACGCGACAGGATAATTGGGCGATTTACCTCACATGCCACTGTCGAAATTCGAAGGATACCGTACAGTTTCAACTACAGCCTTTAGATCGCACTGCCGTTATCGAAATATATATTACAGCGTACAACGATTGTATAACAAAAATACGGGTATACTCAGAGGTGTCCGAGGGTGAAACAACGGAGTTTGACGTAACGCCCAGCTTCACAGGTGGCTTTCTAATAGAGAACGCCAGTTATATGGACAAAGCGAATCCGCGTTAATAATATCCGTGTTGGCTTGCTGGGCAATGGCAAGAGCGGAAATTGAAGAAGCTCAGAAATCACGATGGTACACATTACACCTAACAGCCATCCAGAGGACATCGACAACGAGTAGTAGAAGGCCATTAGTCGGCCATAGGATAGGTATCGATCGCATTATCCATTCATTCGTTCTGTATTGCGTTCATTTTTTGCCTGCTGAACTTTTGTCATCAGGCGGACCATTCTGTGCTAGTTAGCAAAGTAGATGTTCTGAGAGAGGTAGAAACTATATGGCGAGCGCATATTTCTCTGATAGGCAAGGTCGTTATCGTATATCATGCGCATATATGCATGTGCGTCGTGTACAGTTGACCTTCCGATTACCCTGTTGAGCAAAAAAAGAATTCGGTGATTTTCGTCACTGTCGATCAAGCCAGTTGTGCCTCCACTCCTAGCGATCTGGAGCAGTGACTGAGCAATGAAAGACAGTCACACAACTCTCCTTTATTGATGTGGACAGATAGACTTTTCAAGAATCGCATTGCCATATAATTGGTACCATATGAATAAGGTTCGTTTTGCCTGATCTATCTTTAAGCACTTTATTATTGCAATTGAATAAATTTAAGCACTCCAATGATTGCGACTAATTCATCTTTTTCTATTGGCTTAGGTGTCCTTTATCTATTTTCAGGAGCCTTGGGCTTGCCGGTCTTCGTAATGTAAGATAGCCACAATGGCCTTGCATTTAGATGCTTCCCTGTTAACAAAGACGTCTATAGATGTATGCGTAATTAATCAGATAGAGTGCGCTAACTTATACCGTTAGACACAAAGTAACTTTTCCATATCGGATGTGACGTCGTAGATTTTTGTAGTCCAGTAACGTTCCAATGCACCCAACACTAAGGTTCCTTTTCGATTTAGCGTTAGTAGGCCGAATTTTTATGTACAGCAGATAATAAATGTACTCGATATTCAACAATAACAATCTGGCAATGTGCATGGCTACATGGTTTATATAATTAGTACATAATTAATACGGCAATAAGTCTGCCAATAGACATCTTGCTGGAGGTATTCCTTGCACGTTTTTCTTTCTTTCAATTAGTCTTTTGAACGAAAAACTACTCCTAAGGCGTCAGGCAAAACACATGGTAGGAAGTGTTGCTGGTGCGGGTATCACAGTGAGAGTAGCAACAGTGGCATACCACTCTGCTTTCATCTGTTCGCTAGCGATACCAACATAGCACTGTTGGGCTGGTCTCGCTTGAGCGACTAATTAGTTTTCAATGCAACAAAAAATCTTGAAGATTAGGACAAAATACAAAGGGGCAGACAGATAAATATTCTCAGCGGCTCAACATAGCGGCTTCGGATGCCGCTGCTGACGCAAGTTGCCGGCTGTCTTTTCAACCGCCATGGCCACGGGGGAGGGACTCGGACGCTCAGGGTAGCTGTTTCAAGAACGAACTATTACCCGGTTACAATAATGGAGATAATGGCCGGAGTCTACAATAGGACCGGGTTTCACCTGCTTTCCTGTTGAGGTGCCGCATTATTCAAAACCCGCGCCTAACGAATCCGCCGAACCGAATCACTTTGGAACATTGCGAGCGTCGAGTATTGCATATTTCCTATCTCGTAGAGCATATTACGGCATAATCAGCAGCCACAGCAGCAGCAGGCCATAGTTTTATCGCTGCGTCCTGCTCTCAGCCAAGCCCTGTGTCTTGTTCTGTGACGAACTTCGTCTCAATTAACTACACATGTGGCGAAAACGTCCTGAAACGGGCGCTTCCACAGAAGAAACGCTGGTCTCTGTTAGCAGGCCACAGCCTTATACCACATCGGCACTGTGCATACTCAGCACTCTCTGTTTCGAGTGCTGCGGTAAGACACGAACGGAGTTGGCAAACGACAACAACAGCGTCACCAGCAATGTCGATTAACTCTACCAGCAGCGTAACGACCGTATGGCCGTAGAGACACGACGGCCATCGTCGCCACCATCAACATCACCATCAAATTATCACTAAACATCTCGAGAATTTACTAAGTATTGTTGTGACTGTTGCCGAGCGTAGATACGACAATCACATATACATAAGTGTGCATACAAACGATAGCCGTCAAGACATTTCGATGTGTATGTTAAAGATAGTGTGCGTGTCAAAACGCACGTGGTGGCCCGTTTATGCATGCATGTATTTCGTGCAAATAACTGGGTACAGCATATGGAACACGCCATTCACCGATCATTCCGCAGAAAGGGCGAAGGCCGCAGACGATAACGACGGCCTGATCGTTTTTGGTGTGGGCAACTCAGATTTTGATGGTCGGCCGCTGCCTGTCTATTTAGCGGCTGCCTGACTTGTCAATTGCTTGCCACTTTGTCGTCGGGCGAAGCTAGCGCACCGCAGGCGGAAAAATCTTGTGCTTTGTAACATAGGTGACGCTTTTAGCCAGCGAGTCATCGGTTAACGCTGAAGACAGGGACGGAATAACCAAATACCGTGTGAACTGAATCAATGATTGATATTAGCTACTTTGATTTAATAGCACTCCTCGTAGAGTCGCTTATACCCAAATTGTCATATTTACACTGCCACTGTAACAGAATACAATATAGTTGCTTTTCCAAGAAGTCCTGTAGGTCCATTTGTCCAGCCCGAGCAAGAACGGTACAGAAACAAATACGCCGCATAAGAACGCAACGAGCTGCCACTGCCATAGTGGGCACTATAATCGCAGCTAGACGAGCAACCTGTATCAATGGTAACAACAGCTGACCTAGAACACGTTTTGTTTACTGTTTTTTTCTTTTTATTGGTTTGCTAGCCCGTCTCGTTGCCTGACATATTTCCTCTGGCGTACCACGCCCCGTATCTGGCCTCAATGGCGATTTCCTTTAAAATAGTCTTAATGAAAAGCGTAGAAGGCAATAGTAGATGTAGAAGCCAGACTGGGTGCGCTCCTTAGGCGAAAGAAAGTCGGTTAGGACAATTCAATAGCCTTTTGGCTACGTTGATTGCGATCAGCCATTATGCCTACCTATGAGCCCTCGCCATGCTGCACATGATCCTTAAAGGCGGCAGTAATAAATGTCGCTTATTTATAAATGCGACTAGGTGCTCCTCAATTCAGCGTATAATCGTGGGCCAATCCCAACAACAAAAGTATAGCAGATTGGTTTATGAGGACTACTGCTGCGCATCACGTTTACGAAACAGCTACCCACCCATCCCACGTTGCCCCTTCGCTACATTGTCCGATTGCTAAGCAGTAACTGACGCTAGAGAACGCAATTGTCGAATGACTGCGTGGCCAGTTAGCCGCTGGTTGCCTCGCTCTAAATATTACCGCTTGGCAGACTCGACGACAAACACATAAAACCACTATAGCCAAAACAAATCATGATAATGGTGCCATACAGTAACAAGTACCTACAGCAGAAATACGCCCATGAAACCGCGCGAGTGTAGCATTAGGCAAAGGCGTCATCATCACTATAGCCGTCACAGTCATCATCATCATCATCATCATCATCATCATAAACATCAACAACAGAGCGTTGCGCGAGACCGCTATCGTCTCCTCGAACAGCAAACACAGTTAGTTTATTCATGCATCGCTTTAAATACTGGGCCCGCCGGAGTCGAGTTCGCCGTTTCATCTAGCCTGTTTTCTTCCAACAAATACAGTAAGGAGATGACTAGCAATAATAGTCAGTCAGTCAGTCAGTCAGTCAGTCAGTCAGTCAGTCAGTCGCTCGGCGTCGTCCCTGCCTCCAAGCAGCTGTTAGCGAAAAAGCGGCGTAAAGTCGATGGCAGTCGCGGTGCTGACGCGCTAACGGATAGCGTCAACAAAAAAGTTGCCGCTGCTGCCGTTGTCACAAAGGCTTGGCGTGCTGCGGGCTCTGCTGAAAGTCTAGCATTGGGTGTGTGGCGGCGTCTACAAATGAGATCATAGACGGACACATAGACATCGGCTTCTTCGTGTTGTACTTCTCGTCCTTTCTGGCGGCCCACTGTTCCTCAATGGGGAAAAAGGGCGCAAAGACATCCAGGTTTCGACGGGCAGGCAGACAAACAGACCAGCAGGACTTGGGCTGCAAGGGCTTTTTCGAGAGGATAACAAAGAAAAATAATAATAAATACCTTTTTAAGCGAGTGAGAGGCAGAAAATACTCGAGCTCTATATAGAGCTTCCACAGCAATTGTCCTACCGCTTTAGCAATGACGAACGTCTGAGCCCAGGCTATTGGGTGAAAAAAGTTCACATGTACAATCATTGGCTAGTAACGAAACTACCAAAGAGATGACGTTAGATTGCTTCGAGTGATACAGATTGTAAATACTAAGCAATAGTTACCATCCATAATGCTTTGCGTAGATACACGTCCCTTCCTGAGAAATAACTATTTCAAAAAGAGCTATTGCTTCTTATCTAGACAATTAGTACTGTGTACTCCGCACCATCCAAGTATGACTAAAGGCTTAGTTTTTAGAATAAAATAGGCGCGTATCACTTACATGCGTTTCGTATGTTTTATTGCGTCCACGCCACTAACTTCGTAAGCTTATGAATAGAGTATGGCTAAAATAAGTAATCTTCAGCGAATATAAGCCGACTCCTGCGCTTATATTAATTGTGATTGTTCTGACTGGAAGCCACCTGACCCATTTTTTGTTAAAACTGCTGTAAAATCTTAGTGATCCGAAAATTTAGGGCTAAGTACAGTTTCTCGTGCACAAGAATAGCGCTATTGACGTTTCTGTTTGGAGTTCGAATGAAACGCTCAGCCCACGATTTATTAGTTCTCGTAAATCGATTAGAGTTTCTAAAAATATCGTTAGGGCCTTTTTCCTTGTCATTGTTATAGCAACGAGACAATGCTACCCGCGGCGAAGGTTCCATCCGTCGTTGCCGACAGCCACTCAACGATCGGCGTTGTGACGAATAAGTTGATATAAAAGCTTCTTCAGCGGGGATGAGGGCTTGGCTAAACTTAGATGCGGTCAAATTGTAGCAGTGAAGTACATGATTTATAGGTGTTGCATCGTACATACGTATTTAACGAATGCTACATTCGAATATTTAGATCGGACGAAAACATTTGTTCTAAACGAGCCCTGGAAGGTTCTGTGCTCTTTTGATCCTTCCTTCTAATGGAACACACTTAGAAGGACAAACAGCGAATTGTTACTTTTACTAGCTGACAGCTCCTGCTTAGCACATCGTATCTGACACATCTGATGTGCTGATAGGCATTAACAGGGTACAGGAAATTCTTTTTTGTAGACGCTAGATCGAACGCTCCTTCACCTAAAAAAGGTTCGGAAAAGCTTTCGAACATCTTGTGTTACGTCACCGCCTTCTGATTTTAAAATGAAAGGAGACGGGAGACCGTTGATCTTTACTAATCGAGCGGTACTATTGGAAGCGGTACTATTTTAGACGCTATAGACCGTGGCAGGAGGCACTCGCCAACTTATTAGTATGACTTTCCGTAGATCTTAAAACTAACCATCAAAAAGATATATAGTAAATGACTATAGCGGTAATGATGACGGTATAATGCTCTACTCGAACAAACAGACGACGCGCTTGTTCGTTGGATTTATAAACTTTCAACTGTATGGCTGACGCTTGCCTGCTTGTCTTATCAGCATATAGATATTTTAGGAAATCCATTTAAACTTATGGAGAAGAGACACGACACTTCGGAAGAAAAAGCACTAGAAAAATAGTTAGCGAAAAACCCTAATGAACACCATCGTCGTTATGATTAGTGTCTCATAGGAGTAAATTCTACTTTACTCACCGTTATTTCACCGAGCGGAACCTAGCAAAAACTTGTTAAATTAAAAAAAAAAAAAAAGTTAAGTAAATTTCAAATCGAAAATTGAATGCGTTTGACCTCACGATCCGCCCATGAGTCGAAGGCGGGTAAAGTCATATGCACAGTTCTCTCACACCTGTTGTTAACTAGTTTCATTACATTTCATAGAGTTAATTTAGTGTTTTTTTTTTTCTCTCCGTAACTGACAAATGATTGGGGCGCCACTGATCTAGACAAATTGATCCAGTGTAGCATTACTAATGTTTGATTCCCTCAGTACCCTACACAAGCAATAGCCACATCTATTCGCGTCTAAGCCGGATTAACCGACCAAATACCTAGTACTTTAACATATGTTGAATATCTTTGAGACTTTATCGAGTGAGAACATGCTTTTGAAAAGAACAAATCGAACAATCAAGACCTGAATAGTCGTTATCAGCAAAACGTGTTTTCGGAACCATCTAAGACGTATCGGTCAGAAGTAGAGCTCATTTGCACCTCATTACCAGTCACAGACTGCTACTCGTATCGCCAATGGGTATCAAGACACGACACTTTAGGTATTAAATTAAACATGTCTAGAAGAATCTCGAGAGCATCTTGTTTAAAAGTCAGTATGGTAAAAACGGTCCTGTTGCACATTGCTGGCTAATTGCATACCTAGCTAATCCGTTTCACTTAACGGACCAACGAACGTACCGTGCTAGTGAAGATTCCCTTCCAATTATCGCTTCTCTTCAATGTACCTTTCATGACCTCCATTTATGTGCTCAGGAGCCCACTAATTGGCGGTGTTACCAATTGAGTTGATCGTTAATATATCAGTTACTTTAACTGTGTTCAACTGCGACATATCAGCACACAATGCCGTCACGAGAGTGCTGTGTCCTGTCTGCTCAGGACAACAAATGAAAGTCTTTCGTTTACCATATGAACAGTGTGGCTCTCGTTCGCACAAGCTCTGTCGTATCCATCCCACTGTGGTGTCGAAGTCACTTGAGGAAAGATCAGCACGGCGACGCTTCTTAGTGCCTAGAAAGACGATCGAAGTGAGCGAGAAACACAGGGAAAATTTAAGAAAAATTACTTTTCACCGGCATTTTACAGGGGTGTACGCTAGAATGCCGACACTAGTAGTGGTTAGCAGCTCACGGTAAAGTCACTTAAACTCGTACAGCTTTCAGTGTAATCCAATATAACCCTGACTGATTCCGCTTGTTCACGCGGTCTATTAGTGTAAGTCGAATAGAAGCAGTGGCTATTAGTAGGATCCTCCTGCAACGGGATCACACCTACTCTCTCGCTTTCGAGCTGCTTGCTGCCCTGATGTGCGCGGCCAGGAGCCACCGAAAGGTTGAGATGACCGTCGTCGACAGGACGGCAATCACCGCGTTTTATAATCCGTAGCTGGGCTTCTATGTATGGTAACCCGTGTATGCTGTGTCGGCTGTGGGATGTCACCTGTAAACCGCCTCCGAAGCCGGGTTGTTAGTCGTGGGTGTGTCGCGCTTGTTTGATTTCAACCCCTAGCCCAGAACCAGCGGACGTGCATGTCGGCTTAAGACAGCATGTAGCGTTGACAGAGCAGCGCAGAGGTCGTGGTTCGCTATCGTAGAGGTGGTAAACAGCGAAAAGTCGAGCTGGCCGTTCACACGAACAAGGTATAGGTGATGACTGGACGGGCAGCACCAGCCACTCGCTTCGTAGTTGGCACTGGGCACAGTTTACCAACAGATCTGCAACGAAAGTATGACCGAATAGGTTGGATTGCTGGCTAACCAACAGGCGTTGTTCGCCTCTCAGCCAATCAGCGATTTGGCAATCTAACTTAATGAGCGATGCCATTGCAATCAACAGGTGGCAGCCGGATCAATAACAGACTATGGATTAGCAGTTTTTGCTGCTCATTCATCAGACAAAAAGGGCCAAGACGATACGATCGAAATAACGTTACGAAGCGTCACGTTGCTTGCAAAAATTAGCCGTTGAAATGAATACGAGCATTTCGTCTTTCAAATCCAGCAAAGATCTATGGCCGATTACTGCGTGCTTCAATTAATATCTGATCCCGCTTCTTGCTAGTCCACTACGCTGGCTCGTACAGCGTTCTTGGCAAAAACAACCAGTTGATTGAGACAGACAAGTCGATGTAGCGCTTCACAGATCCGCTAAAATCCGCATACGATGACGTGTGTTTCAGTACGGCGTGATAGCATCGTACTAACATGATAACACAGAGCCATCGTTATAGACATCTGCTAAATACGGTGTAACAGTTTGCAGGAGAGTAGCTCAGTTTAACACGAAGAGACGGCTCCCCTTGCAAAAACACACACTCTAGCAAAACATTGCAGGATCCGAGTGGGTTCAGTAGCGGACACTAGCGAACCCTGATGATTACGCTGGCTCAGCCAGTGAGCCAGCCCAGCTCAGGAGTACAACGTATATAGTATACGAAGGATTGTAGAGCTACGAATTCCTTAGTCCTGAGTTGATCTACGATGCGACTATCGCTGAGCAGAATACGAGCAGCTATCAGTAGTTGAGTTTAAAGTCGAGGCTCATGATTCACGTGTGTTACCCACTAGTACAACTACTGATGCTGTTAGATGCGTTCCTTCCTTTTATGTTCGCTCTCTGAAGAGGAAAGCAGATTGCGCCGACTCAGTACGCTGTCAACACCGATCAGCTTTCCTATACAGGGGTCTGTCAAACAGTTACACTCTCCTTCAGCACAGTGTTTTTTTCCGATTGGGGCTTTAATTAACTGGGCTTTTAATTAAAGCCCAGTTAATTTCTTCTGACACGGCTGCTATACGAACAAGCAACTCTTAATGGCGAATATATGATTATTGCTATTAGGTCCGCATCACATATCTGAAGTTCCATCCATATTTATCAGTATCTGTCTGCTCGACTTATCCAGCTCAGCGTTATGGTGATTGTCAACCTGGTAGTAACGCGCAAAACCAATGCTGCTCGACAATCTGCTATCGAGCCCATTGACTTGTGAAGCGTTAGGTACCACTTGTAGGCAGACAAACAGATTGGCATTTGAGTAACACAATAATTGTTATTACGTTTCCCGGATATCACAGCCATTTCTGTAATGGACGTTGTTGATCTGACTGTCGACGTGGTCAGAGCAGAATTCCTGCTGGCGTCTGTGACGCTACTGTGGCGAGTGTCTGTACGAAATGACGGGCACCGAGATCAGGATTGTGCTAGCTGGTTCTTGAAAAACAATAGTTGCCGGCAATACAACATACGTGTATGATATTGCCTCTCCTGCGAATAGTCGACAATATACTGGTGATACGAGGCAAAAACGACGGTGCCCAGTCGATTCGAGTCGTCTGTCACTGTGTTTGAACTGGCCGGCTTCCCTTCTGAACGGAGCGGCCACCGATCGTGGCCGCGAGCAGGCACACAGCCAACGAATAGGCGGACAGAAGAAAATAACAAGCGCTAATTTTACTGTTCGCTGATACTATTCATTTCGCTCGTGCATTTCTAGTTTTCAGCGTCGCCGCTAGCTGATATTGGCAATGCGTAGCGCACTAACGCGTTTTAGGCCACTTTTCAGGTGCGCTAAGTTCTTTTTCGCGGTTGACGTCGCCAGCCTGGACACGCGGAAAGGTCGGTCGTAGTTAGAATGGGACCGCTAAATGTAGATGGCGGTAATTATAGCAGTCGTAATAGTTGTACTAGAAATAATTGTATGGTGAATAGCCGCGAAAGGATTTAGTATCTTATTCGGTGCTCCTTCTAAATAGATGAACATTAGCCCAGTCTACTGAGGACTACCGTGTGGCTATTACGGATGACGGCGCCTAAAAGCGATGCGGCCGCTGGTGCTGCTATAGCACCAAAAATAGAGACAATCACACGGATAGCGGCGGCGGTAGTACCGATGACTGAGCGCGTATCAGTTGACACTTGGTCAACTGGTCATAACAGCCGTTGCTATAACGAGACATATCGTACATGTGGCCTGACGAATACGCACAATGCAATAAGTCAGTCGCTATATCCGTACATTGACGTAGGTGTGTCCCTCTGGTCAGACAACACAGAGGGTTCTAGAAGAGAATATACCCAATGTCTGAAGTCTTCGGATGGAATCGATGCAACGGAGAACGAGTAAACATTGAAAGACAACTGATACAATCATACAACGTTATCTGCGGCGTGTGGTTACCGATATCCAGCAATCGCTGACAGTTTAACATAGAAAAATATTTTTCGTCTATCAACACCTCGGTGACTGCACAGAACGCTCGTGAAAGTCAGGCGAGCACCAAACCCCCCGGGTTTATATCCGTACAGCGTGCCTGCTACTTCCACTTTTAATAATACCTCTTACAAGCTGAGCGCACCGAAGTCTAACCGTAAATATATGTACACGGATAACGTTGCACTCAAATTCCAATCGGCCGCCAATTATCCAGAGCCCCCGCCGCTGCTGCCGATAATCTGGGCAAGCTTGATTGTGGCACCTGCTGGCTTCTTGACTCGCCAGGATTCACAAAGACGACCGGCTGGCTATATTTAATAGGGAAAAGTGTTAATTACTAACTCAGGTTTCGCGCTGTTCTTCAGCTATCCATAATCACCTCGACGCGAGATCCAGTACACCCACCGACTGCCAGTGGCAAGTCGGAATTAGGTCAGCTGTTAGCATCGGGCTTTTTTTACAGTCCTATATAAAAGTAAAAGCAAGCTTCCAACGTCGACAAATGATTTAGGTGGTGATAACTTTTCCTGCCAATGTACTCAGCTGCGTGTCCAAACTGGGTTCAGATTGATAACGACGATCGTTAGCTATTCACAAACCTGCTTACACGATTCAAATAGACCAGCTGATGATGAGAATAGTCGACTGTAGTAAACGGTGCAAATCTCACTCCATTCAAGTAATTTCGATGCTACGCAGTTTTTTGCCTAGAGCCTCGACTCGTTCCTTGGAGAACTCGCATACACCGACAAAAGATTAATTGCTGAGAAGGAAGAGTCTGTCGTTTTTTTGCCCGATTAAAACACTGATGACAAACAACGACTACTGTTTATGTCTCTAGAAAAGTTTTTTCCCCAGGATCCCTAGCCTACGATAAGGTAGGTAGACGTTATACAACTATATTGTAGTTGTGCGCGAATAATACAATGGGCAATTTTTGGCACCTTATGGTAGGAGGTCGATCACTCGAGGGCAAGTGAGTATAATTGTTTTTTCTTTAAATTATATTAGAACAGGAACAGATGCATACTCGGTGTGAGGTCTGTAGAGAAAAGGGCCTACAGCAGCGTCTCATCAACGAATGATAGGTAGCTTCTACTGGCGTTGTTGCGGCCGCTTCTTGCGGCGACCTTTACTGCCGACGGTTAACTAGATGAAGCAAACTGGCGAAAGCGGCTACCTATATCGCTACGGCTATTATCCTAGAAAAATGTCTGAATGCGCTGAATTTGAATAGAATGCATATTTATTGTTGGCCAAAGAAACAACGTCAAATTGCTACGCGGAACTGTTAAGGCCGGCGGCGAATGAGGCCACGAGCTGGCTATTCGTAGGTGACTCATTCGCCGTTCCTGCTGAATGAAGGTAGGGCGCTGTCCAACTATTGGAGGAACGGACGTCTGTCCTCTGAACACAGGCTGATGCAACGTCACCGTACGCAGGACGTAGAAACTAATAACCGTAGGCGATCGTCACGCGGCCGGTTCGCTTCGGCAATACATTTAGACCGAGACAGAACTGCCGACAGCTTTTGGAGGACCTTTTTCTGGCTTTTAATTATATGATATCGATGGCGCTTTCAAATCGACAAGTTCTTACGGAGACGTTGATGTGGCAGTTGTCCAGCTTCATCAATCGATCAATCCAAATGTCAATTATACCGTGATCTGTGATGCCTATCGCCGCCAGCTGCGACCGCTGATGCCGATAGTCGTTAACCATAGAACTGTTTGACGCGGTTAGTGCTCGACTAAGTGCCCCATCGATCTTTCCCATCTACGAAGCAGTTGATAAGCCAGGAACTGCCTGAATTTCAGACATCAGCCAAAATACACGAAACTTATACAGCTACCGTTAGATGGATAGGTTAGATAAAATCGTTGAATCGTAGAAATTTCATAGGTAAACAATGCAATCATGTCCAAGGAACTATCAAGTGCGTAGCGTGGTACAATTGCTCAAGCACAAACTATTCTCCGATATAAGCTGTAACAGCAGGAAAAGCAAATTTACTCAACAGAACGAAGAAACGCTTAGAGTGAAAAAAAAAAAACAATAAAATATGTTGAAATGAAGTTCATCATTCAGCGCAGATGATAGAGAAGTTTGTTTCAGCAATAATGAAGGGAGTAGGGTCGCTGCTCCTGGGAGAAAAGCGCGGCAAACATCAGAGCAGCAGGAATCTCTGATGAAAGTATTTAGCGGGCCCGCTGTAGTCGTAAGCTACTGCAAAAATAATCTCAGTGCACGGTAGGCAAGGGACGAAGAAATTACGTTGTTGTCATTACTCAAGCCTGTTCAGCGCAGTGGCATGATCACTTAGTAAGATCACGTTTTAGACGTCAATAACCGACGGCATATGTGCGTCTAAGTGGTTGTGTGCGTGAGTTCATCTAGTCGGTCTACCCTTTACGGAGAAGCACCTACAGCAGACAAGCAAGTCAGCGTGCGATCACCTATTACCACCCTATTGTTCCCTCTAGATCGCTGCGTTAGGAG